GCCCTTTTAATTGAAAAAACTAACTAGGAAAATCAATTAAGCATAATTCAAGATCACCAAACTTAATGTTTTTAACATTTTAAAACCTTTATATTGTTAAAAACATCGAGTTTACTGATTTTGAATTATGCTTAATTGATTTTCCTAGTTAGTTTTTTCAATTAAAAGGGCTGAAATGCGCCTTAAAAACCATCGTTCAACAGGCTGAACTGTGCCTTGTAAGGTGTGTTGTATTAGCACACCTTGTAAGGTGTGTTGTATTAGCACATCTTTCAATGGTGTTGTATTAGCACACCTTGTAAGGTGTGTTGTATTAGCACACCTTGTAAGGTGTGTTGTATTAGCACATCTTTCAATGGTGTTGTATTAGCACACCTTGTAAGGTGTGTTATATTAACACACCTTAAGTTATGCTAATCAACACACCTTGAGGTGTGCTACTATAACACACCATTGAGCAACAATAACACACCTTTGCGTGCTGCCTAACACACCTTTCTTAGTAACACACCTAAAGGTGTGTTGTTTTGGCGACAAGCCGCTAACACACCTTTTGTTGTGTTACTGTAGCACACCTTGGTGTGTTACCGTAGCACACCTTAAGGTGTGCTGTTTTGGCGACAGAAAAGGTGTGTTACTATAGCACACCTATTTTTAAGAGTGAAGAAAAAGGCGTCCAAACCAAGAAATCCACCAAAGTGCAGTGTATGCAAGCAGCCAATGAAAGGCCACAAAAATGTGACTAATTGTCCACGGAACAACAAGGCCTAACAATTATTTTACTGTACATAAATATTTAACATTCAAATAAACTTATAAGCTTTCATCGTCTGTTTCCAAGTAATCATTAATCATAACCTGTAAATTCATCATCAGTTTTGATATTATGTGTCAAACGTATTGCAGTATATGCACAAACAGGCAGTGGTATACGTCTGTCCTTTAATTTGCCGTGTATCATGTGGGTAAACTCATGCAACACCTTGAAGAAATCTACAATATAATAAAATAATTTTCTTGGTTCAATTTTATACACTATATCAATAGAAATTTGGTGGGGCAATGTGTTTAACCCTTTACTGGCAGTACCCTACCACTGACGAGTAAAATCGGCTGGCATTGGACAGAGTAAATAATAAAGTTGGATGCATCTGAGTGCATTGCCAGGTAATGGGTTAACAAGAGACATTGCCAGATAGGCTTGCTAACCCATTTACTAGCAGTACCCTACCACTGATGAGTAAAATCATCTGGCATAAACAGAGTAAATAATAAAATAGGTTGCATTGCCAGCTAATGGGTTAGTTAACTAATTGTGATGTTGGTTTTCCTGAATAAATACTATTATCAATCAATCAATCATAATGTTCTACTACACAAGTGGCTGCATAATGCATCAGTCAAATCTAAGCATGCCCATCCCCCACCCGGGGCATTTGCCTCTCTGGCACGTCCCAGTGGAGGGCCTTTGTTCAGGGGTGGGGCATTTGAAATTAATATTACATTTTTTTAAATATCACTAATAATCTAAAACACAATCACATCAGTTTATCAAAATGCATGATGTCAATATCTTGTGATGAAGAATTTCCCAAACAATGTCCCAAATTATTGTTTGTATAGTAATGATAACAGAAAAACTAGGGTAGCAATACCCCAAAGTGCTTGGGCATTTTGGGGAACACCGGTCACGATTAGAGATTGCAGCCTCAATTTGACAAACTCCATATTTTTGCCTTTAAATCTCTACATGTCAGAATATTTGTCAAACAAGTGGTTGAACTTGAACATGAATACGTGTGATGCCTTGTAAAAACAAATGTCCTTAATAAATTTACTGTACCTTTCCTTTGTGCCAAGTTGACTATATCGATGTCCATCACAAGTTTTAAACGTGTCTGCCGCGAGCTCCAACGACCATCTGTTTAAGCACACTGCTGGGAAACCAGGGTGATCTGTTACACAAATCACTTCTTTGTCAACTGACCCAGGATAGTCCAAATATTCAACACTTTCGACACATTTTACGATTTCTCTGCAACAATAGCATTCTTTAGCATTTAGAAGCATTTCCGTGTTGCAGTTTCCACACCTGCACCTAAATGGCACAATTTTCAAACATATTTATATACAATATGTAAATATTCGGAGCCAAACATGCCAACAAGTTATAATACAAAACCGCCATATTAAATTTGGCATAAGTATTGTCTGTATTGACATGCAAGTTTAGCTGCTACATATTACCATGACGTTACAGGTTTATTCCCTTTAAAACACACCTCTAAATCTCTCATCCTTTCATTGTCTTCCTCTCGCTTTCGATGATATTCTTCTAGCCAAGCTTCAGCAATCGGTTCATCCAAGTAAGCCTCTTCTTCGTCTGAATTGTCATCCACATGGCCGCCATGACTGGCTTCAAAATATTCGGTTTCTACGTGCTCAACTTCAATTTCACACGGAATACTAACAGATGAATTGCTAAAGATACTCGAGTGTGAATTTGAGCTCGAAATTTCAGGTTTTTCACAAAAATATAGCGATGCTTTTTTACTTGTTTACACAATAATTGTTAATTTCCTGGTGTGTAAATACAACGTGTTCCTCCGACCCAGTCTCCTTTGTGCGTTACTTTTTGTTCAAAATTCGCACTTTGAGCCGTTGTATCTCAGAAACTAGAAGTTTAAGTCAAAATCTAATCTAGAACTTCTATTGTAACTTTTTATGCTCTATCTGGATCATCAAAAACCCATTTTGGGTTTATAGGCACTTTCAAACTTTGAGTTTATCTGCCGGGATAGTGGATTTAAACTACCTCCGGACCTCGGATATAAATTTATCCAACGGATATAGTGCATTTTATCCGTTGGATAGCGCTATCCAAGCTTCGTACAACGCGATTTTCACTCCGGATAAAATTTATCCGCTGGATAGGGACTTATCCACCGGATAGCGATTTATCCACCTTTCGTACAACCGGCCCCAGGGTTGCAAGGAAAGAGCCTGAGCAGGAGGCTATGCCACGTTGATCACTTTCGATCGGATCCATCGTACAAGCTGGTTACGGTCGGACAAAGATTTTACCGATGGTGAAATGATGTTATTTTCAAATCTAGGTTGCCGAAAGTAAAGAGCCTGGGCAGGAGGCTATGCCACAATTGAAGTGGCAAATGTCAGATGGCCCGATCAATGTATTTAAAAATGCTAAACATTGTGTCCTGAATACATTAGATTTTAAACCCGCGCCTCATTGGTAGCATATCCCAGACCCTATAGATTTGAGTTGCTGGAAGGTAGACTAATTAGCGAAACAAGTTAGTGACGGAGTTGTGGTATTCACATACACACATCCAAGGAAGTACTTAACTGAAGATTCTATAAGAATATATCTACAGTATAATGTAACGCTGTGCATCTAAAAATCTGTTCACAAAATGTACGAAATGCAGTCCTAGGGGTGGAAAAATACAAAAATTTTCTGGGGGAAAATCCCCCAGACAGACCACACTATTAAACTATTACCTACAATAGTGTGGTCCCTCTTTGTAGATTGCTCTCTCCCCATGGACAAATTCTTAAAAAAGGCTCTGGCAAGCAACAAATGTTGGTGAGCGTTCCGTATGGTGGTGCATGCATGTGAATGTGATCATTCTTAAAACATTTAAATTTCGTAAGCAAATAAACTATCATAGAACATGAACAGCTGTAATAAACAATTTTACTTCGTCACGTTTGGTGAAAACTAAAAACTATGAATTATATTTAAAACTGCACGCGCTAATTCAGATACCAGACGTGCAGATTTGAAAACTAGAAGCGCAAAAATCCGGAAAATTTTGATCTCGGTTGCGCAATTTGCAAACTTTCCAGTCTGGCAATTATATATCAATTCAAATTATTTGTAACAATCAGTTATCTACACTTGGTGTGAATTGCAAAACAACGATGTGTAATAAATATCAACTACATGTTATTACTGCATGATGTCACTCTGAGTATATATCCACACCGGGCAAGCTTGAAAAATATGCCTGGCCACTGTGGGAATCTATATTCTATAGGCCTGCCACGCAGGCTAGGTGGGAATCGAACCTACGACCTTTGGAATACTAGCCCAATGCTCTGCTGAGCTACGCAGTCTGACTAACATCAGAGTAACATCACGAACATCATATTCAACTGTATTCAACTGAGTACATAACACCAACACAAAAAAAACTCATGATTGCTAGATTGCATTGATATCAAAAGGAACTAGACTCAGTTCCGAAATATCACATACTCGAAATGACTTGACTGCGTAGCTAAGTTGGCAGAGCATTGCACTAATATTCCAAAGGTCGTATGTTCGATTCCCAGCGTGGCCAGACATATTTTTCAAGCTTTCTCGCTGTGTAGATATACACTCAGAGTGGTATCACAAACATGAAACATCATATTCACCTGAGCATCACATGTTAATATGACATGCGATACGTTAGGGACCGGTCATAAAGTATTTACTAGGGGGTATGGAGGATATTTTTTGGGGGTACAAAAAAATTTCCAGAACCTCTGAGGGGGGTACGAGAAAAACAACAGAACCTCTAAGGCGTACCAAAATCTTAGTAGTATATAGGTACGGGAAAAAATTACATTTTATAATTAGTGTTGAATATTGAATGTATTTGTGCCAGGACTTTTAAATATGATAACGAGTGTCAGTATTGATAGTAGCCATGCTTTTGTTTCTCTAAGGGGCTGTTCATATCAGCCGGGCTGGTCCGGTAAGCCGGGCTGGCTCGCTTGTCCCGAGATCCCGCTTCATATAATGTTTTCATATGTTTTCGAGATTGCATTCACATGGGAACCGGGCCAGCCCGCTTTGTTGGGATCCCGCTTGAGGGAGGCGAGATCCCAGCTTTGCCGGGCTCATGTGAAGGCAATTAGCAGGCCAGCCAGCCAAGGCGGGATCAAACTCATGTTACAGCACATGCGCTCATTCGCAGCATGCTTTCAAAATGGCTCCCACAAAAGTAAGAAGAAATTTTTGTTGGACAACAGAAATGGTGGAGAACCTGATTGATTTTTTATCCGTGTACAAAAGCAGTATGGAATATAAAAGTCTAGATTTCGATGCCGATAAATCAGCACAATACAAGCACCTGAGGCAAGAAATGGCGAAGTTATATGCCGACGAGGACAAAGTTTTATTTGGACCTGTTCGTGAAGTATTGCCAATTGAAAATATTGATGAGTTAAGCAATGAAGAAAAGGCAGAAGTGAAGACAAAGCAAGTTCATCAAAGAGAGCTTATTTCCAAAGGATATAATCGTATAGTAGAAAAAGTTAAAGAAATACGGCAAAGCTTTTCCAAAGCTGTTGTGGCAGGGTTCTAGAAGTGGGTGTGCTAAGATCATTTTCAAATTTTATGATAAATTGGTTAAGATATGGGGTGGCTCAGCTAATACTGAACCACTGTCATTTGGTGTAAGTTCAGAAAGACTTAATAGTGAAGGTGATGGCCACCAAGATTTGCAAAGTGAGTTGGAGTCTGAGGATGAAGATAGTCAAGAAGTAATGCAAGTGGTGCACAAAAGAGAAAGGCTACAGAAAATGCTGTTCCCAAACTTGTAGACAACAAGCACAAACATCTAGAAAAGAACTTATCTGCAGCAGAGCGAGATAAAATTCTTATTAACGAGTCGAAAGAGGAAAAGGAAGCTCGTCAAAATTTCACGGCTGTGATGAAGAAGTCAAATCAATGCTTTATGAAAGCTATGGAGTGCATGAGCAAATCAATGCAAGACGTGGGAGCTGGAATTAGTTGGTCAATGGAAATGCTTGCCCATGTGGCTTCGGGAAATAATTTGCATCCACAGTTTCCAGTTAACCAGAATATTTTTAATCAAGGTATTCAGCCCAATTATCCAGCATCTGTACCAGCTCGCGTGGCAAGTTTGTACGGAACGAAATCGCTATTCGCCCTTTTCTTGTTCTTCAGTAATCCGAGATGAATGCCAAAAAACTAGAAAAAGTGTTGGGCTTTTTGGGAGATCTTTTGGAAGAAAATGGCAACCAGCAACGCCAACCACCAAGGTGCCAAAGGCCACAATTCCCGCATTGCGAGGAGAATAAAAAGGAGGCAACAGTGTCAAGCTGCCGGGGCCGCTGCAATGCAGCAAGAGGACCTTAGAGTTCACCTCCAGGCGAAAAAACAACAACAAAGCGAACTGGGAATTAAACTGAAGGAACTAATAGAGAACTCTTCCAAGAATAGGACAACAACGAACTTGATAAATATAAGCGAGTCAAAATGTTATGACCGCTTATTCGACGAATTAATCGAAGTTAAGCAGAGCGTAGCAAATATGTCAAGCGCTATGAACAAACTTTACGATCATGTAGCCTTTACAGTTAATTCCATCTATAGTCAAGACCTAACCTCAAAGAAAACGGTGTCTGAATGTGGTATACAGACAGATATATACCCGATGAGTTCAAATCTTGCTCACATTGATAATCAAGGCACAATCTTTAAGAATGCGGTGTGTGAGATCGGTATTCAAACGGACGTTAACCCGGTAAACGAAATTCTTACCCAGAATAGAGTCAAAGAGCATATACCCAGTTCGTTTTACGAGCTTTCAACCGATCTTGAGGGCACCAAATTAGACATCGTAATTATGGAACGCAAAATTGCAAGTGGGGTTCGTGAGAATGGTCAAGCATTAGATCAAACTCGTGCCGAATTGGCAGATATCAGAGATGATCAGCAGAAAGCCGCACATCGCGATAAAGCAATAATAGAGTTATTGTCAAAGCAAAACAAGTGCTCTCTCTGATAAAGTTTAACTTTGTGCTTAGACTTGGAAAAATTGAAAGCAAATTTACATAAAGTTGAACAAAAGCATGTTTCTGATCACCCTACTCAACGATGCGTACATATATAGTGGCCAAAACAACAAAAGGTCACGAATCTGAAAATCTTTTACTACAACAAATAACTGTGAGAAACAGGTTAATACCCCAGTTGACTCGTGTGTCAACTGTGCCCGAACCAACGAATCTTCGTACCCGGTGACAAAATACGATAGTGTGACTAAACAAGAGGCCAAACTAACACATCTACATCAAGTCGGCCTTGAACAATTATCAAATAACTCCAAAAGCGTCAACGACGTCATCAACAACAAAGGTTTAAGCGGTAAATTAAACCCCGATACAAATAATAAACAGAATTATGATCATCCTTCCACTAGTCAGATAATTACTCACAAATCCGTTAACGGAGAAAACAGAGTCACCACCCCGCGACCGGCACCACCGGAGTGGCTGAAATGCTTGCCTTTGTTTGATACACCGTACAACGAATCAAGTAACAGTCCGACCAACAACAGCGTGACCAAACATGAGGCCAAACTAACACACCCACATCAAGATGGCCTTAAACAATTATCAAACAACTCCAAAAACGTCAACGACAAAGGTTCAAGCGGCAAATCAAACCCCGATACCGTAAATAATAGACAGAATTATGGTCATTCTCCCACTAGTCAGAAAATTACTCACAGATCCGTCAACGGAGAAAACAGTGTTCCCACCCCGCGACCGGCACCACCGGAGTGGCTGAAATGCTTGCCTTTGATTGACACACCGTACAACGAATCAAGTAACAATCTGGTTTTTCGCGGAATCTTTGGAAGGCGGAAGACTCGTTGGGGATCTCGCCGGGAGAAGTATTCGGACATAGTGAACTAAAGAACGATACTATAACGGATTGTCTATTTGAATCTTCCGACCACACCATGAGGATGAACATTCCCACAATTGAATCCCAAAGAAAGCTCCAAAAAAACCCAACAACCAATTTCTTTTCTACTACCAGAAGTAATTGAATTAATATTCCTTTAGAAGTTACGCACTTATCTGCGAGCCAAGGGTCGCGTGCTAACGTCAGCAAAGAATTTGTGCCTAGCCTACTTTTATCAAACGTCATGTCTTTAGTACCCAAAATCGACGAAGTTCGTTTGTGTGTTTCTAAACATAATCCGGATCTTGTTTTCATCACAGAAACATGGCTCAAAGAATCTATTGGAGATAATCATGTTGATCTACCGGGTTACAACATCAAAAGACGAGACCGTACCTCAGCCCAACATGGAGGCGTATGTTTTTTCTCTAAGGAGTGTATTAAGGTCAATCAACTTCATCAATTTGAAAGTCCTAACCTTGAAGTTCTCTGGACGCAAATAAGACCCCCCAGACTCCCAAGAGGAATTCCATGTATTGTAGCTGCTACAGTATACCACTCCCCATGTGCTAACGATAATGCTATGTTGGAATATTTATCAAAATCGTTAACAGACATCGAGGGTCTCTTCCCCGGATGTGGTATTATCATCGCTGGTGACTTCAACCATTTAAATATCAAGAATTTGTCTCGCCAATTTCAAATTAAACAACTAGTGCATCTGCCTACTCGAGACACGAACACGCTGGATCTCGTCTTAACAAACCTGCACTCTTTCTATGGACCTAACTCCGCCACATCCCACCCACCCTTTGGCCTTTCTGACCACTGTGTCATAACATTATACCCAAAGCAGAGAGAATCCATTTCTACCACCAAGAAGGTAATTTATAAAAGAGACACTCGACCCTCACGAAAACAAATGCTCGGCAATTTCCTAAACCAAATCGACTGGCACCTCTTAGATCGGCTCACGAGTTGTAGTGAAAAAAACGACCTGTTCACAGGAATCATCTCCACAGGCTTAAATTACATCATGCCTGAAAAAGAAGTCATCTTCCACTGTAACGACCCACCATGGATCACTGAAGATTTCAAACGCGTGATTAAACATCGACAACGTGCCTTTTCCTCTGGAAACTCTATCGCTTTCAGCTTTTACCGGAATAAAGAAAATAAAATGAGGAAATCCTGTCGTGCTAAGTATTGCTCCTCCAAAGTTGAACATCTGAAACAATTGAAACCAAAAGATTGGTGGCGAGAGACGAAACGCCTCTGTGGCATGACTCCAGTTTCTAATTCCCCAGCCTTCATTTCCCAGCTCCAATTAGAAAATACAGACCATCTAGATCTATCACCACTTGATCTAGCAAATCTAATCAATAACACCTTCCTCGAGCCTATGAAAAACTTCTCTGCCCTCAGCGATACGACCACGAAAACCCCTTCACAGTCTGATCACTTTCCAACCAGCGCATTAACTACACCAGAGTTAATAAATCATAAGCTTAATGTTCTTAATCGTTCCAAAGCACCTGGCCCAGATGGAATTCCAAATTGGATCCTGAAAGAATTTGCAGAAGCTTTATTAAATCCTATCTCTATCATTATCAACTCTTCCTACTTGAAACAAAAATTGCCAAACGCTTGGAAACAAGCTAACATTATAACCATCCCGAAAAATAAACCAATCCGTGATATAAACAAGAATCTTCGACCTATTTCATTAACTCCAGCCTTATCTAAATTGGCCGAAGACATAGTTATTGAATTGAAAAATACGTCTCTCATGCAGTTTTGGAGGTGGTCAATCAATTTGGGGGTATTCCAAAAATCATCAGCAACTTTCGCCCTCATCAGTATTATTCATACATGTGCTCAAGCGACCGACGGAACTGGCGCTTCCGTTCGTCTCCTCTTGTTTGATTACCGCAAAGCCTTTGACTTAATTGATCACAACATCCTGGTTCACAAAATCCGGAAGCTCTCAATTCCTCTACCTATTATTAATTGGATTATCGACTTTCTTACATCTAGGGAACAAGGAGTTAAACTCGCCAGGGATTGTTTCTCCGAATGGGGAAAAGTTCCTTCCGGAGTTCCCCAAGGGACAAAACTAGGCCCATGGCTCTTTATACTCATGATAAACGATCTGAATTTAACTGATTTCCAAATGTGGAAATATATTGACGATTCTACTGCTGCTGAAGTAATATCAAAAGACAGTCACAGTACCATTCAAACAGGAGTAAACCAGTTGGAAGACTGGACTGTGCAGAATAAACTCCAACTTCAAGTTCCAAAATGTAAAGAACTACTGTTTCAGTTTACGACAGTTAGAAGCCCTTTTCCCAATGTTGTCCTACGTTCTGAAATTCTCGAACTAGTTGATCATGCTAAAGTTTTGGGACTGACAATCAGTAACGACTTGAACTGGTCCAAACACGTTGCCGAAATGATCAAGAAGGTCAACAAACGAAAATACTTTATTATACAGCTTAAACGCGCAAAAGTGCCCGCCAAAGATATAATTAACTTTTACTGCACATGTATAAGGCCTGTACTCTAGTACAGCTGCGAAGTTTTCCATTTTGCTCTGCCTACCTATTTTAGTGACGCCATTGAGCAAGTCCAAAGAAGAGTCACCTCAATAATTTTCCAAGGCTTGCCGTATCCCGAGAGTTTGCAAAAATGCAACCTTATTCCCCTCAGTGATCGGCGATACAAGGCCTGCTCAAAACTATTCAATCAACTCATCAACAATCCACATCATAAATTATCATCCCTTCTGCCGGAACGTTACTCTGCGAACTACGATTTCAGAAAAACTCGAGAGTTTCACCTTCCAAAGATAAAAACAGATAGATATTTAAAAACTTCTATACTGGCGTGCATCAAAGAATTTTCTTAGATACTCAATTTTATATAACCTTTCAACACTCAGTAAATTTTCATAAATCTATTTATAAATACTTATAGCATATATTTTATTAACTTTATATTTAAAATGTTCATGTAAATTATAGTTCTATAGAACTTAACCTCTTTTGTAAAATAACACGCAATTCTGTCATTGTAGACTGCAATGTGTTTCTTTTTAATAAACCTATCTATCTATATGGGTTAAAATGCGGAACGGAACGGATGGGGTTAAAATGCGGAACAGAACGGATGGGGTTAAAATGTGGAACGGAACGGATGGGGTTAAAATGCGGAACGGAACGGATGGGGTTAAAATGCGGAACGGAACGGATATGGGGTTAAAACGTAACAAGAGCAAAATGCACACACTGCGGACATGTTCATGAGAATATAAATTTTTTGTTCAATGAAATCCACAGCACTTGTCAATCATATTGCATGACTATGTCTAAAAATAACATGTGGGCGTCCCACGGTCTAGACAGGTTTTGTGTCAGACTCTATTTAAAATTAGGGCCTAAAGTTCCGTTCCGCATTTTAACCCCATCCGTTCCGTTCCGCATTTTAACCCCATCCGTTCGGTTCCGCATTTTAACCACATCCGTTACGTTCCGCATTTTAACCCCATCCCTTCCGTTCCGCATTTTAACCCCATCCGTTCCGTTCCGCATTTTAACCCCATCCCTTCCGTTCCGCATTTTAACCCCATCCGTTCCGTTCCGCATTTTAACCACATCCGTTCCGTTCCGCATTTTAACCCCATCCGTTCCGTTCCGCATCCGCTTCCGCGTTTTAACCTAACCCCTTTGAGTAGGTTATTGTCGGATTATTTTACCGTAGGTAATTCAGGGCTCTCACGCACTTTGTGTGAAGGGAGGCTGACGCTATGTTGCAAGCTTCGAAGCGGTATATTGCTAACAAGATCAACTCTAACCGCTATTTATTTAATACTATTAGCTGGTGATGTCAGCTTGAATCCTGGGCCTGTACAGTCAGTAGATGATCGAAAAGATAAGATGACATTTTGGTCTTTCAATGCTCGAAGTATCGTGAATAAAGATAGAGAATTAAGGACCCGATTGTCATCTTATGATTATGACGTGATTGCCGTGACAGAAACCTGGCTAGATTCTTCGATTAACGATGGTGAAATCTTTCCTAGTTCCTATCAAGTTATTAGGAAAGACCGGTCAAGAAGCGGGGGTGGAATATTAGTAGCATGCAGTCATCATTTGAGTGTTAGAAGACGTTTTGATTATGAAACCGAATGCGAAGTGCTCTGGTGCGAGGTTGTCATACCAAATCCGCTTACAACCATGCTAGTGGGAGTTTTTTATCGGCCGCCGTCGACAGACTTGAACTATATGCAAGAACTGGAAAAATCTTTATCGATGATTGAACGTAATGGCAAAAACTTAACACTTGTATTACTTGGAGATTTTAACTTCCCAAATATTAATTGGTTCGCTCCGTCGCCTTCGACTTTATGCACCGACGGTACTTCTGCATATTTTTGTGACATGATCGATGACAACTTTTTACATCAAATGATAAATGTACCTACTCGAAAAGGTAACATTCTTGACCTTGTCCTTGTAAATAAACCAGAATTAATGCTTTGGTCAAACGTTTGTGAAGGCTTAGCTAACTCTGATCATGATTCTATTGAATTTGCACTGAAAGTTAAGATTGCTCGCCGTAAATGTAGTCCCAGACTAGTATACGATTATAAAAATGCTGACTGGGACGGTTTAAAAGAGGATTTTAGAAATATCCCATGGAACTGTATTGACTTGGTATCGGATATTGAGGTTGTTTGGAGTTCGTGGAAGAGTTTGTTTTTCAAAGCTGTTGAACGTAATATCCCTTCCAAATTCCTTTCGTCTAAGCGGAATGTTCCTTGGTTTAACTCGGACATTAAGAAATTAATTCACAAAAAACAAAGGCTATGGAAAATAGCGAAATCCTCTGGGAGTCCTAATAAATGGTCCAATTATAAAAAATTGAATAATGAAGTTAAAGATAAATTAAGGAAAGCTTACTTCAGATATGTTAATAATCTTACAAACTCCCTTGGGGCGAACCCAAAGAAGTTTTGGACTTTTGTCAAGTCCCGCACAGGTACATCAAGTGTTCCAAAAACAATCGAATTTAATGGCCTTAAAGGGTACAGTCCTTCATCAATTGCCCATCTTTTTAACACATTTTTTCATTCTGTATTCAATAAACGTGACGAATCATCGGTCCCGTACTACACATTGTATACAAATCATGTCATTAAAAACTTGGTATGTTCAGTAGACGATGTTGCTAGTCTATTATCTGAATTAGATATTACTAAATCTTCCGGTCCAGATAAAATTTCACCAAGGATTTTAAAAGAATGTGCTTATGGACTCGCTCCTTCCCTGACTCGTATATTCAATTTATCACTGAGTACTGGTGAGTTACCTAACGACTGGAAAACGGCAAATGTAGTACCAATATATAAGGCAGGTGAACGTGTTATGGCTGTAAACTACCGTCCAATCTCTCTCACGAGTATTGTTGTTAAAACCTTAGAACGCATGGTTCACAAACATATTATGAATTTTCTCTCAGAGTTGCGCCTATTATGTGAAAACCAACATGGCTTCAGAAGGTTTCGATCATGTCTTACGCAACTGCTACAGCTAGTACACCACTGGTTCTCGGTGCTGGATAAACAAGGCGCAATTGACGTTGCATTTTTAGACTTTGCGAAAGCGTTTGACAAAGTATCTCATCCACATCTCATCAATAAGCTTAAATCTTATGGAATAAGTGATCCGCTAATAAAATGGATAAATAATTTTCTATCTGGCAGAAAACAAAGGGTTGTGATTGATGGTCATCAATCAAATTGGTTAGAGGTCACTTCAGGAGTTCCCCAGGGAAGTATCATAGGACCTTTAATGTTTCTTGTTTACATCAACAACTTACCTTCAAGTGTGACTAGTAATGTCGACCTTTTCGCTGACGATAGTATTATTCATCGTCAAATTTCTACAAGTAACGATTGCGTCCTTTTTGAAGAAAATTTGAATCAAGTAGGAGATTGGTGTGATGCATCGTTAGTCCAGTTGAAGAACGAAAAATGTCGAATTGTTCATGTCACAAGGCAAAAAAACCCTTTGAACTATGAGTATAATCTTGTTGGTATACCATTACAGAGTGTTGCACAACATAAACACCTAGGGGTTTGGTTACAATCTTCATTATCTTGGGAATATCACATTAGCTCTATCTGTGGACGAGCTAATCGGATCTTGGGTTTAATACGGAGAACATTTGGCTACAAAAATCGAAAAGGCGTTGAGGTTGCCTTTAAGTCCTTAGTAAGACCAATTTTAGAATATTGTTGCCAAGTATGGAATCCATACTTAATTAAACATGTAAATGCAATGGAAAAGATTCAACGGCGAGCTACCAGATTAATATGTGGCCCAGATCAACCCTATACGGAAAGACTAAAGAAGCTCAAGTGGCCGTCGCTTGAGTTGCGTAGAAAGTACCTTTGTCTTGTTCAGTTATATAAGATCATGTTTGGTTTGTGTGATATTGACAAATTTAAATATCTGGATATTGTGGGAGAATCTCGTACTAGATCAAGACATAGATATAAACTAAGACCAAAGCATGCACGTACTAATTACTTTAAGTTCTCGTTTTTCAATCGCTATATTTCAGACTGGAATTCTTTGCCATCGGATGTTGTGGAAGCCACTTCATTGTCCAGCTTTAAGCAAAAACTAATGTCGTTTCTACTCCTGAAACAATGTTAACTTATTCTATTCTATTTTATTTTTTTCGGGTTTTTATTATTATTTTGGTTTAACGTGGAGAGCAGTTCATAAATAGGAATTTAGTTTCCTCCTACTGCTATCCTCCCTATGACATTTGTTAGTGTGTATGTACGTCATTTTGTAATATTTATTATTAGTTTTTCTATTTTTGTTTATTAATAGGGAAAGATTTATTAAATTATTAAATTAAATTAAATCATCGGTTCTGCCAGTGATAACGTCTTCATCCCGGCAAAGAAATGGCGAACGGATGCGATACTTGGCGACCTTCGTCATCTAGCAAGTCTTCAAGTTTGATCCCGTTTAACCCCTGATGGAAAATAGTTGAATGTTTTACTAAGAAGCGACTTATTGTATCAATTTGTATGCGTACCAATTTTTCTTATCATCTATAAGTTGTGCGCAAACACTCGCTTAATATTCGAATTTGGCGCGCCATTTTTGTTTTTATATATGACGACAACAATTTGCATTGCAATGTGCAATATGAAGTCGAGTTGAAAACTGTACTCTGTAGATTCGTGGCATTTGTGATCGCACTACACTATACTCACGCGGCAGTCACAAGAGCTCGTGCTAGAAAATTTAATATATATCCTGTTGTCTTCGTGTAGTTATATCAATCTAAGTAACAAACTTTATCTAAATTTAAAACCTTTCAAAAACTTCATAAATCTTTTTATGTTCTCCATGCAGTGACAACATACAAAATCATATATACAAATACAAAACAAAATATAACTTTCACTGTACAGAACTCTCCCAATATATGCCTCGAACAGCCGGGCAAACATAGGCTATAAATCGGATGGACATCATGGATTTTCCCTTTCAATTCAAATGTGTTTTCAGTTCTGAGTATTGTCATGCCTTTTCTATACATCCAGGTCGCGTCTACCCTTATATCCCCTTGATTTGTATCGCCAGTATACGCCTAATTGCTTATGCTTGTGCTGGTGCTGATTTCATGTACTTTCGACGGTGCAATGCTTGACCTGTCTTAATTTATTTACTGCATTTCTATAAACATTTATTTGGGGTTAGGTTTAGTCCGGGACGATTTCTATCATCTATCTAAAATCCTGCATGCAATCCTTTTCGTTGTAAATCAGCTCGAATCGTTCACACATTCCAACAGTTAGATAGTTAAGCTATATAGTCGATTTTTATACCATATTTTATATATTGGGCTTTCTTCACATGCTGGAAATATAACACTCTTACAGAGTAATCCCTCATTTTATATGCATGGAATTAAGTCAATTAACAATGGCATTACGATGTCATGTTAGCGATGTCATCTTAGCAAATTTTTATAGCTTTGGCCTTCGCATAGCCTGCTCGCCTGACAATTATACGTCCAATGGACAAATCAACCAATTATACGTCCAATGGACATACTCCCTTTGCTGCCTCCTCCGCAGGCCCTCTTTGCGTCATGGGAAGGTCACGATCTGGCGAGGGCCTGCGGAATCTTGTAAAAAAATGGCGCCGGCGTCACGTCAGCAAGTAAATTTCTACATAATATTGAATATAAACAGATAGAAAAAAGCGGCGTGAAACTTGTAAATTAAACTGGCGACTCTAAGGACGTGGAAGGAAGCATTTTTTAACGATAAGGTTTGTTGTCCACACCAACGTTGCACGAATAAAACTGCCTTCTTTAACGAAGCAGGTCCAAAACAACATTTATTCATTTTACAAGATTCCGCAGGCCCTCTCGAAATCGTGACCTTCCCATGACACAACGAGGGCCTGCGGAGGAGGCAGCTCCCTTTGCCATCTCACAGGCCTGGTACCTGCATGGGATCGATGCCAACCTATGACGTCATTCCAGTGAACTTATTTACTGTACAATCAAATGTCCAGTGGACATATTCCTGTCCATTGGATGCAATGGACAAATCAAGTGTCCAGTGGACATGTGCCTGTCCATTGGATCCATTGAACCATTGGACATACTCCCTTTGTCATCTCTTTGGCCTGCTACCTGCATGGGGTCGATGCCAGCATATTACGTCATTCGAGATAACTTACTTAATTTAATGCACAACCAAATGTCCAGTGGACTTATGCCTGTCCATTGGATCCAATGTCCACTGGACATTTCAATATGTCCATTGGACATCTTGCAGAGGTATTGGACATTAATCTATAAAAAGGGAGGTTTTAGATAAAATAAAGCGTATTTTAAGCAGTAAAAGTATCCCAGTGGGCACACGACGTCGTTTCGACGTCGAAATTTGGTTGAAATGTGGTCGGTACGTCGATCGACCAAATATCAACGTCGTTTCGACGTCATTTTGACGACGTGTTGACAACGTTGGAAAAACAACGTCATTTCGACGTCGTTTCGATGATGTGTTAACAACGTCGAAAATAATCAACGTCGTTTCGACGTCATATTTTACGACGTGTCATCGACGTCGAAGAAGCAACGTCGTTTCGACGTCATATTTTACGACGTGTCATCGACGTCGAAGAATCAACGTCGTTTCGACGTCATATTTTACGACGTGTCATCGACGTCGAAGAATCAACGTCGTTTCGACGTCATGTTTTACGACGTGTCATCGACGTCGAAGAATCAACGTCGTTTCGACGTCATATTTTACGACGTGTCATCGACGTCGAAGAATCAACGTCGTTTCGACGTCATATTTTACGACGTGTCATCGACGTCGAAGAATCAACGTCGTTTCGACGTCATGTTTTACGACGTGCTATCGTACGTACCGTCATTTTGATTACTAGTATCAGTATTAAGGAGGCTCCCTATGTACAGTAGCCTGCGGCATGATCGCGTGGCCAGTGCGTGGACTGTCCCACCCAACCTCTGTACTACGATCGATGTCAAAACTACTCAAAACACTTAATTGTTATCTATTGTATAGCAACTTTCAAACCTTTCAGAAAGTCGTCCAGCGACACTCATGTTTCTACAAGTTTAATTAAACAAAAATATTCTGGCAGTTTTATACTTGTTTATAATGATATGGGCGGCCAATTCTAATCTTCTGAGGGGGGGGCTAGCCTGCATCGCAGACTATTTATATTGGGTTCATATATAGTCTGCTAATCAGCGACAGAAAGCTTGTATGGTCACGTGGATTTCCCGAGAAATCGTGGGACGCATTCTGATTGGTCGGCTTATAATTATGCCAAATTAATTAAAATTTCAGAATATTTGATCATATTTCAATGGGTATAAAGCTTTCACTTGTACAGTCTGGAAAAAAAACTATATTTGGTATAAAACCTCGCTTAATACGCTTATTACGCTTAATACGCTTATTCAAATACGCTACAAACATGTACAAAAATAATGGCAAACGTACATGTACGTTTGAAACGCAAGCAAGCATTGAGAAACGTTTGTAGTTGACGATTCCTATCAAATGGTTACGTAGTATTTAGTTCAGTTCTTTTTAGAATATTAAATTCTATTTTTGCAGAGAATACTACGTTTATTTATTTATTTATTTATTTATTTATTTATTTATTTTTTATTTATTTAAAATTGAGTTATAATCAGTACATGCATGCAATGCCAATGATATAATTCGCATTTATGCGCTGTTACGGATCCAAATAATTATTGATCAATTATGACCCAACAACTCCATTTTCTTACAATTTCTAGGTTTCTCCTGAGTTTCTAGTTTATTTTTTACACAGGTTGAAAATCTATTGCGGTGAAGAGATTGGGGTATTCATACGCAACCACTCTACACAACACTCAAGGTACTGTGCCCTCTTCGAATTTGTTCAAAGACGTGCCGATATTATATGTCTCATTATATAATAAAAATCGGCCAAATTAATGCCGAATCTAGCCTCCTCCGCAGGCATCCCGTGGGGCATCTCCGCGACTTTGTAAAGTACGTGAACGCCAAAACCCGACATGGTTGAGCCGTTCTGCGCATCTTGCTTGCGCAGCAACTTCGTCTCTAGGGTATGCACGTGGGGAGGATTTTGTCATCCAAGATGGCGGATTGCATGGGCCATGGAGTGAAGAATTACGAGAATTAGTTAATTACTGTCACTTTAACGATTAAGAATTCAGCTTTTTTTGGACAATTGAAAGAATCTTAATCCAGAAATTAAAATCGTCGTCAAATAATTTACATGTTGTCAGTTGACATCAAGGTTGACATATATTTTTGTATCAACTGTACATACTGCATGGAATTTAGAAATCGTGTTGTAATCTTTTAATTAAGCGCTATAAAGGTAGACTTTGTGTTAATATCACAATGAAATGCATTTAATTTCATATAATGTTTTTGGATGAATTAGTTGTTTTGCATGTGTTTTAAATGTACAGTTTGTGTACAGTTTGTTATGTTCTATTAAATGAAGACGCAAAGTGTTTTCTTTACATGATAGTATTATTAATAGCACAATTAGGGCAGTTCATGGTTGTCCGAAGCACGACAAAATTGTCCCACATAGGCTAGGATGTAAATTTTAATAACTGAGAAATGTAACAAGATAAAATATATTTCAGCATGATAATTGTGAACCCAGTAGGCAGTATTAAATATAATCCAAAGCAAGAGCCAGATTGATTTGAGTGAAAAGGGCTTGGTCTGGTCGTCAGATTGGCCGAGTACGCAAATCAGTGAAGCAACATCCAAGCTAACGCCACTGTCTGAAATCTGAAATTAGCTGGGTGCACTTACCTTATTTTTTAAATCACATGGCCTTTTATCAGAAATTGCATTGCAAGTTGCAGCAAATGCTGCTTATTTATGGAACATGGTCTTAACATTAGGTTATTATTTCAGGGATGGATTTATTGGGGGGTGCGCACCCCTAGCCCTCGCCAGAGGGGATGCAGGGGGTGCAGTTCATGATAGATAAATAAAAAATAATAAAGACAAAATGAAATGCTGTAATTTGAGCAATAACATGATGATAAGCGAACTGTGAACAATAATTACAATTCAAATACAGTATGTTTATAGGCGGGAGGCAGACACGACCGACACAACTCCGCTTTAGTCGGCAGGATGGCAGGCTGGTGTGTAACGTCTAATGTACTGTTTAATAAACGAGGAGGAGTGTTTTATTAGGTTTAAAGACACGAGCGCGCAGCGCCAGTGGCTTTAGACCTAATAAAACACGACCTGCGAGTTTATTAAACGGCTTCAAACACGACTACAAATTCAATAGATACACCGCCTTATTAGTATTCTTTATAAAAAATACTAACGAGGACACGACAACAATAGATAGTGCCTGATTAGTATTCTTTATATAAAGAATACTAATTAGGAGTGTTTTATCAGGTTTAAAGCCACTGCACGTGACATATTATGGTTGACATGATTTGCCAATAAGCTTATGAATTATTAATGAGTGTTTGAAATAATACAGCAACAATATAAATTGTATAACTTTGTTTGATTTATAATTATTAAATATGAGCACTTCTTACATTTTGGTCAACTTTGCACAACAGTTGCTTGCTCATTTTTGTTACAGCACTGCATGAGCAGTTTACCATTTTAATACATAGTTTACATGCTGTACATATGTTCCGTGAGATATTTTTTGCTAATGAGTGACGTACAGCGTAAAAACACATGAGATTGTAAATTTGAAGTTTGTTATTTGCTGAAATATCTCAAAATTGTCAGTGTGGACAAACTAGTTTCAATATAACGTCCACTAAATTATCCCCGAGCCAACGGCGCGGAGCGCCGTTCAGAGGGTACTAATTCCCCCCGGGAAACCCGGGAAACGGGACACCCGGGACACCCGGGAAACGAAAGCATTAGCGCAGTCTAAAGTTCATCAATGATCGCGGGCGTGGGTGACCAACGGTGGGTGGTCGTCCTCACTGATCTAAAAAATATGGTGGACTGTCATGAATAGCGAACACTGATTGGTCAAATTTAAAATTTCATACAACGACTGCATGACGACAGCGAAATAGCAAACATTTCTTGCAAATATATTTCATCTTTGCACGATTTTGTGAATTTCAAAAGCTTTTTAAGAAAAAAAAGCGAAAAAATCGGCTAAAAAGAAGAGAGCAAAGGCGCCGACGTTAACGAAGGTAAGTTTGATTTAAATTCTAATGTATTGTTTGCTTTATAATTGCTTTAAAACCGATCGTCGGTTGCGTATAAACGACGTTTGAAGAGAATGAAGATAGCATATAATTTCAGTGTATCTTTATTCATTACCCTTTTTATTATATTAATTTTTAAAATAAGAAAGAAAGAAGGCAAAGTTATTTGCATGCGAGAATTTGAAATAATTTTATTTCAAACTCAAAGTTTATCGATAAAGCCAAAAGGCAGTTTAGTATTATTAAAAGAACACTTTAAAACGTTTGGCGAAGCGTTTGTGGTTGAATTTTACCTTAAATTGAAGCTTATATTACGTATGTATAATAACATACCTAACATATATATGTTTGGGAAATTGGTAATTTTGTAATTAAAAATTAAAAGTGATATTTTTAGCGGATTTTCCATTTGTAAGAATATTCTTAAAAAATTATCGTGTTACCATGGCAACTACTTTAGATATTTCATGTTCGGAAAATACAATGGTTTTGTCAGAAGGCGAGGGTTTCTGCATGCATGTATTTTCTGTTATGACAGTAAACGACAATTTCAAGATGCAAGAGCATCCATTATCCAGTTGAAATTTCGACATTTACCACTCCATCTGCCTTCTAGAGTACTCCGCTTCCCAAAAGTATTAATATTTGATGTTATGTGCATGTAGGATACAGACCAAATATAAATTGAATGGTTTCAAAAATTCTTATAAATTTCATTCATATTTCACACTTGTTACTCGATACGACTTACACAGTTTCGGCGTGGTTTGACCATCTGGATTTCGTTAAATTCCGGCCATCCGTTGTAAGTGCAAAATAATCAATGTTTCATTCATATTTGTAACAATTTGCAACATAAAAATGATATTCTCGATCGATATTTTTTCAAATTGTGTTCATGAATATAAAGAGTCGTATCCTATGGGAGTGGGGGTAGCACAGTTTTTGACATTTTGTAGTAGTTTTGATATGAACAAATTAACCCCGTGGAGGTAACACAGTCGGTCCACATGGGCTACATAGCTGGTTCAAAGCTGGGTTTTGGCAGGCATCGCCGCTACTATTTTTTTTTGCCCGCAAGCAAATTTTGCCCGAAAATCTAAATTGAGGGGGTGCCTGCGGAGGAGCCTATTATGCAGAATCTTCAATTTAGACAAATTTATTAATAAAATAATTTGAATTTTCTTCTCCAAACATGGCAAATAAGATCAAATTACATTCATATCGTTACCACAACATAAAGGCACATCTTGCTCGGCATGTGATACTGTGCCATTAATAATGTCATTTACTTATTTACAAAATTCATACAGAAATGCTTAATCAGTGAGATCTACTGTTAATCAGTGAGATCTACTGTTTGCTTTCAAATTTAGCTTTTTTAAAATTGATACGTCGAGAACAGTGAAAGAAGCATTGGAAGGAAAGGAGATTATTGAGTATCCGACATTCCATGTTGTCTTATCGCGTCATTTCTCTGAATATCCAACAGATATATCAAGCCCAAGTAAGTATTTCACACTTATGATTGTCGATATACTGCATGTTTGGGTGCATGGTTATGCTTTATGTGCTCGCTGCGTGGCGTAATGACGTTACAACTTTGATAATAATAATAATAATAATAATAATAATAATAAAAAATAATAATAATAAAAAATAATAAACGACAAACGGAAATCTCCTTACAATACCACATTAGCCTGGATGCGATGTCACATATCATTTGCTTTAACTATATCCTGTATAAGAGGATCAAGAGTGCGTCGGCGCCGTCATATGGACATGGGAATAGCAACGGAGGTTGCTGAAAGTAATTTAATTATTAACCCTTGAACTTGGAATTTCATAACTAGATTAAATCATATACTACAATTAGGGTAATTGTTCACGGAACATGTTTCGTTCTTTCTTAAAATTAAGTTTTTAACATTCTTAGTTAGTTTTTCCTTTTTAACTGTATTTCGTATTTTATCATTCTTTTCTTTGTTAATACATATATTACGTACTATTACTGATTATTACTATTATAGATTACTATTAATGATATGGACCAAAGATACTTTTTATGGACTAAACATATTTTTATTAATTTATTTTGTTTGCAGTGTAAATAATATTTTATATATATATATATATATATATATATATATATATATATATATATATATATATATATATATATATATATATATATATATATATATATATATATATATATATATGCCTAATAAATCATTATTATTATTATAATAAAAAATAATAATAAAAAATAATAATAATAATGATAACACTTTATTTATTGAGGATAAACAGATAAAGTTACAACTTTTTTCCAATCTGGTCCTCCTAAACTCTATAGACACAACAACAACAACATTAAACATGGCTATTTTCAGTACTTCCTATAGGAGTATGAACAAATGAAATCATGGGTATAATGTAAAGTATTAACCAGTACTACAATTCAGTTGTTCATACCTCGAGAAAGCCCCAATTTACTAATTAGGCAATTTTCTAACTGTGTCTAAATTATATTTACAGTACAGTATAATAAGTCGAAATACGTTGACATACAACTCACAAGTGTCTAAAGTGACATTATAAACATGACAGTATTTGACACTTTCTCTATGTACGAACACCCGAAAGTTAGATCATGCTCAGCTAAAACTGCAGGCATGAATTTCGGCAGTTCGTACATCAAGAAAGCAACCAGCTTTTAGTCTTAATAAAAGAGAAAACATGCAAACAAACAAACAAACACTAAATGTTCTTATCAAAGAAATACACTGTCACTGATACTTATTAGACTATATACTTATATTAAGCAATTAATTACTAATGATATTTTTAGATGTCTTAATAAAGCCTTACGCTGTTAAGTTTAGTAGAACTCACGAGTTTCTGACTGAAGTAACTCTTGCAATATTTGTTGAATGACGGCTGCGATGTTATGGAAAACTTGATGAAAAATTGATGATGGAAAATTTGAGAAAAACATTTCGTCGTTTATGCGATAAGAACATTCAGGTGAAATTTTCCAGGAAAGATGCGCGCCTTTGAATGAGCTTATATGCATGGAACTTGATCTGTGCAGCAGTGTATATGATCATTGCATGCATTTTAACACGTTCGCATTCTCTTCAGCCAATGGATGATTCTAGCTATACAGAGTGTATATAAAAAATTGAACAGATTTGAAATTGCTTTCAATTTCGCAAAACAGCCATTAGTATCTAGTTTTTTTATGTATATAGCTTCTTTGGGTACTTATAAGGTAGAATAATGAAAAAAAATTCTCGAACTCAAATTTTGTGAACCAGGGGTGTGTGTCTTTTCCAACAAACTAAAAATGGTTTGCGCACGAAATTTAAAAGCTTTAATCGTATTTTGAGTTGATGGATGGAAAATTTGTTGGGTTTTTAATTACTGGACAAAATTTCAGACAATTTGCTTTAGTTTAAGCTCTTTAACTATCCATTTTTTCCTAGAAAACCAGCCTTTGGCATGCTTAATTATGCCTTCACCTAATTTGCATATTGCTGACATATGCAAATTGGACAAATGCATTAATTAAGCATGCAAATTGCTGATTTTTTAGGAAAAATGTAAGTTTGCATGGATAGTTGAAGGGCTTAAACTGAAGCAAATTGTCTGAAATTTCGTGCAGCAATTGACCATTTGCGTAATAGACTAAATTTTGAACTAAACAAGTCTAGACAAAAATTTCATCACAGCTTGAAGGAGCATCACAAAATTAGTAATATTTCAAAGTTTCGTTGCAAAATGTTGTAAAATGCGGAAAATATAGCCTTGCGAAATTTGCAATTTTCAGTCATTTTAGATTACAAACGGGAAATTGACAGCCCCAAACCCTTCGAGGCTGTCAATTTCCCGTTTGTAATCTAAAATGACTGAAAATTGCAAACTTCGCAAGGCTATATTTTCCGCATTTTACAACATTTTGCAACGAAACTTTGGAATATTACTAATTTTGTGATTCTCTTTCAAGCTGTGATGAAATTTTTGTTGAGATCAAAAGTTAGTCTATCACGCAAATGGTCAATTAAACACCCAACACATTTTCATCCATTAACTCAAAATACGATTATAGCTTTTAAATCGTGTGCGCAAGCCATTTTTAGTTTGTCGGAAAAGACACCCCCCCCCCCCTGGTTTTATTTGTGTTCGCGAAATGTTTTTCATTATTCTACATTATAAGTACCCAAAGAAGTCATATATATCAAAAACTGGATACTAATAGCTGTTTTTCGAAATTGAGAGCAATTTCAAATGTGTTCAGTTTTTTTTTATACACCCTGCAGACTAAATTTTGATCCAGGCGAGAAGAGCAAAATCCATCACCACATGAGTTAGAAAGAGCATCTTAAAATTAGTAAAATTGCAAAGTTTGGCCGCGAAATGTTGTAAAATGCAGAAATATATAGTCCTGCGAAATTTGCAAATTTTGTATTAATTTGTATTACGCACGGGAAAATGCACCGCTTTCGACCCAAATGTGGTGCATTTTCCCGTGCGTAATACAAATTAATACAAAATTTTCAAATTTCGTAAGGCTATATTTTCCTCATTGTACAACATTTCGCAACCAAACTTTGCAATTTTATTAATTTTAACGGTCTTTCTAGCTGTGGTGATGGATTTTGTTCTTCTTGCCTAGATCAAAATTTACTCTATAGCTGGAATCATCCATTCGCGCCGTCGTGTCTGCGCTACTGAATATTGTTACTGAATTATAAGGTATATTTCGAAATTTAGATAACATTGTATTGTTGATATTTATTCGAGTTGTGAAGAAAAATGTTGTTTGAAATTCGAACACTCCTATGATGTCGATTTTCATTTGTGACTAATACTTGAATTGCTGAGTTACACTACACAACTTTGCCCAAAACTGTCGTATGCTACCCGCTTACAACTTGAATTGTACTGTGTCAATCAACACCACTCACCTAAAGTATACGACAAAGACATGCAGTGATTTTAATATTTTTATGAGATATTGAAACTTGTGAATAATTATACTGTGGTCAATTTATTCATTCACCCTATGAATTATGTTAATATCATTTAAGTTGTGTAAAATAGAAAACCGGAAATCGGAAACATAAAATAGTCAGAAATTCGGACACCCCTACATATACTGATAGCGTTTCTGTTCTGTATAGTGAATTATTGGCTTGGTATGAAAGGGTGTGTGTGCAAGTTATTATAACTTTACCCTTAAATTTTAAGGGTTGAAGTCTAACTTGTATATAGTTGGGGACGCATTTTTTTGCAGTTTGCATATGGAATTTCAATTAGATTTTATATGTATAGTCTCCTCATTTCTATTACATCTGCTAGGATGTTATGTTTCCACTTCCGGTTTTTTGTTTGTATATGTCTCCCAGCAGGATGACTCGAGAGAAAGTTGGATGACAAATTACAAACGTTTTTCTTGCTTTCCCAAGCAGAAATGGCGTGAATTCGTAATTAATGCATGTATAATGTATGCATTTTAATACAGGCGTGTCGCTGGGTGTTTTAGTTTTTATAATTATGTTGCAGTTGGGAAAAGGCGAAGACTGGATACCCAGAACATTAATTCAGACAATCCAATTGATGAAGGTTCGGTCTTGTGTCCTGAGGATGCTGAAGATGTAAAGGAATGCATTTGATTATTTTGACGAAAGCAAATGCCACGGTTCAAAAAGAAGTGATAGAAACAAATACGTACGCACGACACAGATAAGAGGACAGGTGATATCAGCAGAGAGCGGTCATGCAAGAATACCAAGACAATGTTCATTTAACTGATGAAAATATCTCACGGCTAGAAATATGAATGGCAAAAATAGTGAGTGACTGACGGTACTCTAAAGGGACTAAAATTAAACGACATAAACCTTGTGCGCGTGTAACGTATATGAAAACAGAAAGTCTAGTTTTAATGGGCGAATATCTAATAATAAATTAACATTACAAAATATCTTTTGGCAATTATTAAAGTACGACAAGACAACGGATACGAATTTTGACCGTCCATAATTACTTGGACATTAATTTAGTTAAGAAGTGTAATGTTTTATCGTGAATTTTTATGTGTGCAATATTGAGCAGTTGGAACAGTCGTGTGCTTTGTCTCAATAAAACAGGGTAAGAAAACACGTTCATGAAAGAACATATTAATTTTGCAAATATTTTTATTTAAGAACATTTTAGCTACTTAACAACTCCAAGTTGTACATGTGCAGAAGAGCCTGCATGAGGTAACTTCAGGGACATGGCTCACTTATAGGTTTTGCATGGTTACTACTTTCAATTAAGAATTATTCGTGATTTGGCGTACGCAATCGAGTTATTAGACAGATTTAGATCGAGGACGCGGACGTCAAAGACAACGTGAAAATGGCGTGTTGTGCCCATGTATGGATATGCCACACCATTTTGACACCATTTCCACGTCGTCTTTGACGTCCGCGTCCTCGATCTAAATATGTCTATTAGCCTGCTTTAACAAACGCACCGCGACGTTAATCGGGACGTCTAATCTTACTTTGTCATTAGGATGGTAGTTTGAAAGTTTATTTTTACAGGTGAGAAGGTAAGAAAGTGGTCTTAGTTTGCCTTTGACACTTGGATATCACTACATGGAAGTATAAACTACAAATTTAATATCATATACTGTACTATAATGTCAAAATATTTCATTTAATATCAAAAAATTTACACGCAACTGTATTCAACATTTTCAACCTTTTTTAAAGTAGCATTTCATTTCAATTCAATATATGCTGACCTAAAATACATAGGCCTACAAGTAGTTTTGTTTTGTTTTTATGTTATATAACATTTTTAACATTATAAACAAAAATCTAGCTCCTATCTATTCTGCCTAACATCAGATTAAGAGTATTTTAATATCAATTTTCAGGTATGGCATGGCTGAAGAAAAAAAATTCATCCTTTGCGAGATGGCTGTTGAAGGTGATATGCGGCAAAAACCCAAGTCAAGAGGCGGAGGGGTCTCATGGCAAAACATCGTCGACAGTTTAAATTCATTACCAGAATTTGAGGTCAAGATCCGTGCAGCACAGGCTCAATATCCTGGAAAAAATGTCAACTGGTGGGGGTGGAAAAAAGTTGGAGAGTATACTGGAAGAATTGATAGAAATTGGGGAGGAGACAGATGATAGTGAAAGAAGAAGCAACAACAAGCAAAATGTAGTGGACGAGGAAAGACGACGGAAATGAGAAAGATGGTGATGGAGAGCATGAGAGAAACAAGAGAGCGTCATGGTGAAAGCAGCAAGCAGGAAAAAGAAGAATGTCAGCTAGTTAGTCCACGGACTGGCTTGAGAAGGCAATAAAGAGAAAGGAGAAAATGGAGGAAGAGGGGCGAAGGCAACGGGAAGAAAAATGAAGGCAACGCGACGAAGAACGAAGACAACAAGAGGAGAAGCAAACAAAGTTCTTGCAGCAGTTGCAACTGAGTCAGCAACAACAAACTGAGCAGTTTGTTGTTGAACAACAACAACAACAACAACAACAACAACAACAACAACAACAACAACAACAACAACAACAACAAACCCAGCATGGCCACCATGCGAAATTTTATGATGCAAATGATGGAAAAGCAAGAGAAACAGACGGACATGTTCTTAGAACTTTTTAAAAAATCAAATCATCAGGAAAAATATTGTTCCAAGGTTGGAGGTGAAATTTCAAATACACCAGGTATAATATTGTCTACAACCAGGCATGTGCATTTTCTAATAATCAACATACAACATAATTTTTTCCAACTGAACTTACGTTAAGTTCTTGCTGTTTTTGGAAATCCACAAATTGAAAAAAATGCTGATACAGTACTTCCAAACATCAATTCCACAGAGACACATTTCTGCATTTCGGCCGAACGCTGGCGATCAAAAGTTAAATTTCTTTCTTTCGTGGACATTTATTTATTGAAGGGCACTTTTCTCAAGAATTGCAGGTTATTTTCTGAACAACATTTTTCACGAAGATAAAGAGCACTTTGCCACCGGAGAGAGGACACTTTTCGTGTCTTCTGAAAACTTAGGGTTAGGGGCCTAGGCACCCTTTGCTCCCCCTCTCCCCCAGGTTCTACGCCCCTGTGTGTCAGCATGAAGGCAAAGTGGGGTTCCATTTTGAAATGCTTGCTATGCTAAGTAAGAGTTCATTACCGAGAACGAGGTTTTTTTGCGAGATACAACCCGAGGGGCGTGACCCGTAAATAACTAATGAACTTACTTGAGCACAGCGACTTTTCATTTTAGAACAGGAATTTTGTACTTGAGTCTGAAGTCCTAATTCGATACGACAGTCTCAAAGTATTCATACAATAGGATAAAGCTGGAAATGTCTTTGACCAGTCGCGGAGTTTAATGAACGAAAAAGAAAATATTCGAGAATAAAATGCCAACACCTTATGCTAAATCAAAATTATTTACTGCGTGACGGTGTCCTAGACCCAGGACTCCGCGTTAGAAAATGACGCCTTGATTGACGTCGCGTTGCGTTTACTAAAGCAGTCTACTCAGCACCTGGGAGGTTGGGAGAGCACTCGTGCAAGTGCTAGAGATGAAAGTCTTGGCGAGAAAAATTCTTTTATCATCTGGATAAAATATCAATGTCTCGAAACGCAAGCAAAATTCTATGCGTTTTTTGTTCGTCGCCAGAAAATCGGCTGATCGGACACGGCATTGAATGGCAGTGCAGCTTCAAAAGCTCAAAATAATTTGGCGGAAACCCCTCCCGCTTCCCTCAATTTTCTAATGGTCTTGCCCTAATCAGTTAGCACTTAACTACAAATACATAATTATATATATTTCATAGACTAAATTATAACGATAAAATAATTTATCATTGTTTGTACATGTTAGCGTTAGTGGTTGTTAGTTTAGTTACAGCACACAGGAGAGATTATACTCTGCTGGCTTGAGCATTTGAGAACATTAATCCAGCACCAAGTAATGTCAGCTTGGTTGAAATACTCAAATCTTTATCAACTATAAAACGCAATAATACAATCATGATTAATATTGTATGAAACTTTTTCCTTTGAATCAAATACCAATTTATTTATTTAAACTTTATTTGACTTGGTGGCACCGTGGGACAATAGATTTATAATGAAATATGTCGTAGGTGACGTTACTCTCAGTAGCCACCCTATCCCGAATGCCAGTGACGAATTTGTGGAACGTACTTATCCAACATTTGTTATGAAGTGATGGGAACTATTTCAGTGTAAACAAAATACTTGTAGAACAAAATAATGTCCACGAAAGAACGGCATTTGTGATAGAATAATACAAGAATAAAACAGAAAAAACAATCATGCATGCAGCGTCCCCTTGCCCTTTCCGACCTAATAATATACATAAGAATAATGCAATTGTGTTGACATACACTCCATAAGTAAATGAGTGCCAAAAAGTAACTTGGAAAAGTGAACTAAAAAAGTTCACTCCTTGAATGTCCCCCATTTTGGTCTGGGCTTTTATACTGCCCGAGTGTTAACTGTCCCATTGGAGATTACCACCCTCGAGACTCATGCAAGCTTCGGCCATCGTGGCACCTGTCTGTGGAAAAGGGGGGTATTGGAAAGGTTTTCATAGCCTAGGAACGAATCACAAATACCAATCATCGTTCTAGCAATGCAAATTTTCGGACTCTGTTTGCCGCAATTATTAAATTAAATTATTGACTGTTCGATAAATCTCATGGTTTTCTTTTTCTAAATTGCGTTCAAAATCGTGGTGTACCTGGACGGTTGTAATATGACAGAATGGTGCCAGTGATTGTGTATAAAATTAATCTTATAATTTACAATATTTGCAACTTTGTTTCAACTGCCAATAGCATACTTACATTTTACATAAATTCTGTGCAATCCTTCTGAAGCAGAATAATCCACGAATATATCACCAACTATACGTTCATCCATATCAGTCACCTGTTCAGGAAAGACTAAAATTAATTTTGTTTCAACAAGAAAAAATCGATGTAAGGGCAGTAATCAGTCAGGCAAATGAATCATGTTTGAGCCCGATTTACACTACGAAACGTAACCCGTGTAAACCAGGGTAAGATTTTTCAATGGTGAACCCCGCTAACTTCGTTTGGAAAAGAGTTCAAGTAAGCCTGGATGACACTGACTTAGGTTTGTTAACACTATAAGGATTGTCATCAGTGTTTCGTGCATAAACGATATTTCACTTTGATATTTGCAACAATCCAATCAGTAACCCGGCCTATTTTCCACAAACTAGGACGACCGGACGATATAATAATAAATATAATATAATATTATTGTAGTTTACTCAGACCTTAAAATAAGGCGGCCGGATTGTTTAAACACTGTTCATTTCAAGGGTTATATATGTATTAATAAAATGTAACACACTAACAGTGAATATACTGGAAATGTGAGGATGGTTGAAAAGACGATGATGATAACAAAATAGGATGGTATTTGATAACAAATTAGGATGGTGGTTGACAAGATAATGATAACAAAATGGGAGATTGTTGACAAGATGGTGATAGCAAAGTGAGATGATGGTTGAAAAGATAATGATAACAAAATGGCTTGATGGTTGAAGAGATGATGATAGCAAAATTGGATGATGGTTGAAAAGATAATAATAAAATGGGAGATTGTTGACAAGATGGTGATGGCAAAGTGAGATGGTGGTTGAAAAGATAATTGTAACAAAATGGAATGATGATTGAAAATATAATGATAGCAAAATGGGATGATGATTGAAAAGATGATGGTTGACAAGAAAATGATAACAAAATGGGAGATTGTTGACAAGATGGTGATAGCAAAGTGAGATGGTGGTTGAAAAGATAATTATAACAAAATGGGATGATGATTGAAAAGATAATGATAACAAAATGGGATGATGGCTGAAGAGATGATCATAGCAAAATGGGAAGATAGTTGAAGAGATGATGATAGCAAAATGGGATGATGATTGAAAAGATAATGACAAAAAAAATCACCAGATATAGCAAAGTGAGACGATGGTTGAAAAGATAATGATAACATAATGACATGGATGAAGAAATGATGATAGCAAAATGGATGATGGTTGAAAACATAATGATAACAAAATGGGATGATGGCTGAGGAGATGATGATAGCAAAATGGGAAGATGGTTGAAATGATAATGACAACAAAATGGGATGATGGTTGAAAAGAAATGATAACAAAATGGGATGATGGTTGAAAAGATAATGATAACAAAATGGGATGATGGTTGAAAAGATAATGATAACAAAATGGGATGGTGGTTGAAAAGATAATGATAACAAAATGGGAGATTGTTGACAAGATCGTGATAGTAAAGTGAGATGGTGGTTGAAAGGATAATTATAACAAAATGGGATGATTGTTGAAGAGACGATAAATAACAAAATGGGATGGTGGTTGAAAAGATAATGATAACAAAATGAGATGATGGTTGAAAAGATGATGATAGTAAAATGGGATGCTGGTTGAAAAGATGATGATAAATAAAAAAATGGGACCATGGCTAGAGAGATGATGTCATCAAAAGGGCATGATGGTTGAAAAGATGATGATAGCAAAATGGATGATGGTTAAAATGATGATGATAACAAGCTTGTATGACATTTCAGTAAACTTGTACTAAGTAACGCTAAATAAAGTGTTGTGGTATTCAGAAGCAAACAAATATTTTGTGCTAACTGTAGATGTTTGCGACCCTCGATTGTGCAACGTGTAAAGATGAGCAGTTTTTCGCTGTCAGACTAAGCGTATGTTTCCAAAAGTTACCTGATGCCTGCCAATGGAGAAAAACATCATTGAAAATGAACCGTCCATCCTAAACACGCATTCTCCTGAGCTGTCGAATATATTAAAATACGGTTCGCACCAAGTTAATCTAGAGGGAAAAAGTGAAATTTAAACTCTTATTTCTCTTGACATGATCGTAATCAGAGGTCTGGAGTTTATGCGAGACAGAAGAAGATATGTTAATGAAGATAAGTTAAGAGAAGTTAAGCTCGTTTTGTGTGAAAATTGCGTGAGAAATATATTAAACATACGCCAAATCGTCATAGGAGAATGGGAATATAAATACAATACGAGAGAATAAATATATTCTACTCTTAAATTCTGGTCAACCCAGATAATATAAACTTTTGTTTTTATCCCGAGGGGAATTAAATTTTTCATTCTCTGCGTATAGTCCCTGATGCTAAATTTGTACCACTATTAACCTATAACTTATATTGAATGCTAATTCTTCCCCCAAGTCAGACATGATTGTTACCTGAATTTTTCGGCCCTGAATATATTGTTGCACGGCCCTGAATATATTGTTGCACGAATACTTACGTTTGTTGGACAAATCCAATACAAGTATTTGGAAGAAGTGTGACTTGTGATCGCATTGTGCATGTGTTACCACATGGACATATACATGAAGTACGTGAAGGAACATTGATATTCACCAACTTTCTTCGGTTATTTACTTCACGCAGGGAAAATTGGCATGGAGTATCTTAAATAACAGTTAAAAAAGTGAGCTCGCGAACCATCCATATCTGACTGCCGTAATATTATCATGGATCGTAAAAATACTGGATAGGAAACTCATGATCGCTCATGAACCTTTTTAAATAATAAAATTATGACATGCATGCACTAAATCTAAAATATAGCCTATACACGTATAGCAACAACACAACTGAGCATTTTATGATGAAATATGTAAATATTGTTGATAATTTTCAGGGAATACATGTTACAAATTTCAATTATATCAACAATTGCGTGATGACGAAAGTAAAAATCCTAAAATAAAGACAACAACATGTATAAAATAACATGTATATAACGCGTGCTCTGATTGGTTTAAACCCGTGTTTGGATCAGGCCAATCTATCATGTTGTTGTTTTGATCAGACCAATCTATCCTGTTGTTGTTATTTTATAAAACAATTACTTTATGATTTCCATGTTTGGATGGCCTGATCCAAACACTTCGGAATGTTGCTCGAGTTAAGAAAAGCGCGCAAAATCCTTCGCCTTCGGACGAATAGCGAACTTAAGCAAGGCTTAATATAGTACGGGGACGTAACAAGAAACAACCTTAGATTTTACACTTTTATAATTATAAGAACTATGATCGTTATTAAGAACTTAAGAGCAGGACAAAAGTGCAACGAGGGCGGCTATTAATATCATATATTAATGCAAGAAAATGGGCAAAATTTAACTGAACTGAAATCCAGACTCAAATCCTACGGAAGTTTTGGACGTCGCAGTTGCTCTTGCTCTGTTTACAAAGGCAAAATGCATGCACATTATCACGCTGTTGCTCTGTTTACAACGGCAAAATGCAGATTATCACGCCTTGTACACAACGCTTACATTTCAAGTTCATGTTCAAGCTGCGTGGGTCAATTGCTATTTTCAATTGGGTTCTAGAACTTTTGTCAATCATTAACCTTATAAATTAACTTTGATACTTGAACTATATCACAGTATTTTCATACGATGGATAATAGACGACAGGTTTTCTTCTGCAATCATTTGCTTCAACGAGTTTGTTTTCCCTGACAGTCGCGTTCCCTTCCTACACGCTTATAGCCTATAAGGTCGCTGATAACGAGCATAAAGCGAGCGACGTTTTTGTCAACACGGACGTCAGATTTTCGAAGGAAGACTGCATTAAAATGTGTGGTAATCTTCAACACATATGAAAAAACATAAGATTTTTTTCTTCCTTAATTAAAGGAGCGCTATGATGCAAAATTCCGTCAAAATTAGTAAAACCAGTTTTCGAGTGATGAGAGGGCACGATAAATGTAACGCCTGATGATTCTTTACTGATGACACAGACTGTTGCGGAATTTTTAGGTAAGCGTAATTCTACATTTGCTCTATCTTTATGAAATTGAGCAGTCTTTGCCTTTCGTTTCGTATACACACACCTACTCGTATATATATATATATATATATATATATATATATATATATATATATATATATATATATATATATATATATATATATATATATATATATATATATATATATATATATATATATATATGAAGGTGTTTGAGGTATCATGTCTGGTATTAATAATGAGTGGTTTGTAATTCTTCTTCAGACATTAAAATTTTAATGAAAAGTTAAAAATATTAAAACCGTCCAAACGTTTCTCCGATTAAGGCTTCTTCAGTGGACTAATTGTTCGAGTAATATTAGGTTCCTTATCAGTATACCTAATCACTGACAAATGTTAAAATTGACTATGAATATGAATATTCAAATCTAAAACAATAAAAGATATTGTTCTATACACATGCTTATATACCTATTGTTATATACGAACGTTATACATTAATTACTCTCCCAATACAACCATTCATTATCTCCCCTAAATGTTTTTGAATTTCGATTGCCTCAATACATTTACGTTCATCATTGTATGTAATGTTCTTATGAATGATTCTCCAAGTAATATCTTCCTGGTTTGGTTTGTCCTTTTCACTCTTGTGACTCATTATGTGTTTAAACACTGTTTGTTTATCCATTGATAAATGTTCTTTTATACGCGAGCCAATGGTCCTTCCGGTTTCTCCAATATACAAATTTCCGCAATGTGAACAATTAATTTTGTATACCACATTCTTCTTCAAGCATTCATTAGATTTCTTAGCACTTTTACAGGTGTCGCACTTGTTGGGAGAATACCAAGAATAACAGACAACGACAAAGAATACCAAGAATAACAGACAACGCAAACAAACTGAAATCGACTCAGATAAGCTCATCTACGTAAAATTACCATACAGAAATGAAGACTATAAAAGACGAGCAACATCTGTTATACGACACTCGGGGATTGACAACGTAAAAGCTTGTTTTGTGAATGGTAAACCATTGTCTCAAGTGTTTTCAGCTCCCAAAGGACAAATGAACTGTCCCGACAAGTGCGAGACCTTTAAAAGTGCTAAGAAATCTAATGAGTGCTTGAAGAAGAATGTGGTATACAAAATTAATTGTTCATATATATTGCGTAAATTTGTATATTGGAGAAACCGGAAGGACCATTGGCTCGCGTATAAAAGAACATTTATCAATGGATAAACAAACAGTGTTTAAACACATAATGAGTCACAAGAGTAAAAAGGACAAACCAAATCAGGGAGACATTACTTGGAGAATCATTCATAAGAACATTAGATACAATGATGAACGTAAATGTATTGAGGCAATCGAAATTCAAAAACATTTAGGGGAGATAATGAATGGTTGTATTGGGAGAGTAATTAATGTATAACGTTCGTATATAACAATAGGTATATAAGCATGTGTATAGAACAATATCTTTTATTGTTTTAGATTTGAATATTCATATTTATAGTCAATTTTAACATTTGTCAGTGATTAGGTATATAAGGAACCTAATATTACTCGAACAATTAGTCCACTGAAGAAGCCTTAATCGGAGAAACGTTTGGACGGTTTTAATATTTTTAACTTTTTATTAAAATTTTAATGTCTGAAGAAGAATTACAAACCACTCATATATTATATATATATATATATATATATATATATATATATTTATTCAATTTATTCATTATCATTGCAATGAAGCATGTTTACACTCCAGTTACACGATATCGGATTCGCTTGTCACGACGTCGAATTTAACGGGTTCAGGAATATCATATAACACTTGAGATTATATGACAAAATCGTTATAAAGGGGAAATTTTGTGGCCAGACATTAATTACTGTTGAATGGCATATGTTAACTTTGTACAATTCCAGTGAATTCCTAGAATAAATAGATGATGGGCTGGAAGTGCTGTCCCAGAACATTTTCATGATTTGAACGGCCGTATTCCTGGCTCTTCCTGGCTAAACTTATACTGTATATAGTATTGTACGTCAAGGAAGTTTATGAACGGATCATTGACAAATTTTATCAAAGTAGTTTTTTATTTTAGTTATCGCTAAATGTCTAAATTTTACATTGAATTTTAGCTGCAAGATCTTTCAAACTTGTGGAATGGGATCCCCCCATCATCCTGTATATTGTGGACAGTTTTATTTAGGGGGAAATGAAATTGAAACAAAACCTCATCATGTTTACTTTTGACACACGTCGATGGTTTCATTTAATTTGTTTTATTCCCCTTTTTATTACCAGCTCTCAGCAGCATAGATAATGTGACACCGGACAAATAATATATTTTATGGAGTTAATTAAGTACCTTGTTTTATTTCATAATATTCCGTTTTTGTTTTATTGTCAGTTACCGAGTACGTTTTCCCTTCTAGAATAAAGAAAAAATACGAATATATATATACAGGGTGTATCAAAAAAAACTGAACAGATTTAAAATTGCTCTCAATTTCGCAAAACAGCTATTTGTATCCGGTTTTTTATATATATAGCCTCTTTGGGTACTTATAATGTAGAATAATGAGAAAAATTTCTCGAACTCAAATTTTGTGAACCAGGGGGGAGTGTCTTTTCTAACAAATTAAAAATGGCTCGCGCACAAAATTTAAAAGCTGCAATCATATTTTGAGTTAACAGATGGAAAATTTGTCGGGTTTTTAATTACTGTACAAAATTTCAGACAATTTGGTTCAGTTTAAGCCCCTTAACTATTCACGCAAAGTTACAATTTTCCTGAAAAATCAGCTATTTGCATGCCTAATTAATGCATTTGCCTAATTTGCATATGTCAGCAATATGCAAATTAGGTAAAGGCATTAATTAAGCATGCGAAAGGCTGACTTTTTAGAACAAAATGAATAGTTAAAGGGCTTAAACTAAACCAAATTGTCTGAAATTTTGCACAGTAATTAAAAACCCGAGAAATTTTCAATCTATTAACTCAAAATATGATTACAGCTTTTAAATTTTGTGCGCGAGCCATTTTTAGTTTGTTGGAAAAGACACACCCCCTGGTTCACAAAATTTGAGTTCGAGAAATTTTTTTCATTATTTTACATTATAAGTACCCAAAGAAGCTATACATATATAAAACCAGATACAACTAGGTGTTTTGCGAAATTGGGAGCAATTTCAAATCTGTTCAGTTTTTTTTTATACACCCTGTATATATATATATATATATATATATATATATATATATATATATATATATATAGTATATATATATATATAGTGTATAATATATATATAGTGTATAATATATATATATATATATATATATATATATATATATATATATATATATATATATATATATATATATATATATATATATATATATATATATATAGATAGATAGATAGATAGATATAGATATAATACACTTGTTTACAGCTTTCGTTCTGGGCACAAAGTTTTAAAATACACACAAAAATCGTTATAAATCGAAATAAGCAAAAAGAAACAAGCCGTTAAATTCGACCCAATAGCATCTGACTTTGGCTTGTCAAGCAGTTTTCGCTTGTTTCCCGCGTTTATTCTCGTTCCCTACGATACGAGGCCCCGATTGCGATTTATGAATAAGGGCTATATATGGCTCATATATATATATAATCGTTAAAATTAAAGCTCTGCTATCCGTTTAAAATGCGAGGAAAACTCTACTCCCTTTAACCTAAAACCACCTTATAAGGTTATTAATAAAAGGCATTTACACGATACGACTAGGCGTACACGATTCATTCTGGTGTATGAAAACGACTGCCGTATGACGCCACTATACCTGTTCATGTCATATCATGCAGTCTATGGCGAAATTTGAAATGTGACATCTTTAAGAACCATTTATACATGATAAATTAACTAAAGTCGTATACGAATACGATTGTCATTCTGGCGTAAGAAAACTACTGCTAACGCCACTATTCCTGCACGTTCATCAATTTATGGCAAAATTTGAAATGCGAGATCTTAATTTACACCGCATTTATTCGAGTAGGCCTACATACACCAGGATAAGAATCGTAGACGACTATAGCCGTATCGCGTCGACGTATATATTATGGGCCTTCATATAGATTTAGTCATTATAAATCATGTTACGTTCAAGCAATCTCAAGGGACACACTAAAAAATTTAGGCATTTTATTAGCAAATATACCCGGGCTTCTGCCTTGCAAAATCATGTTAGAAAACTGTTTGTAAGTATAAAGGTATCCGAGACAACCAATTCATGAGTTTTTTTATAATCAGTTTGCTTTTGCAGGGAAGTGATTTTATATTATATAATTATAATGTCCCAATTCAGTTTATAATAATTTTCACCGTTTCTGTGACGCTGCTATAGCCTATAAGTGCATGTAAAACATCTGCCATACATCTTCGTATATATAGTAAATAAACGTCGATATTGCTTGCGTAACCGTTTTGTATTTTACATCAGTAAACTATATATACTCGTCTATATATACTGGTCATACTTTATTCAAAAGTCATGCTTATTATGTTTCTTCTGGTATTTCCCCTTATTTAAACTTTTAATTCGAAATAATTTTATCATTATTTCAGGATGTTGTGTTCTCGTATATAAACATATAGTTTCTGGCGTTGCACACATGATATATGCGGAGTAGTTTATATATGGCTGTGTGTCACTGTATATATCACTTGACCGACAATGGCGCAATCTCTGTATAGCGTATATACTCAAGAGTGAAATACCAAATTTGTTATTTTCATACGTGGCTTGAGGTCTACACATCAAGCAAAAAGATCAGTGTAAAAGTACCTCCAAGTCGTTGAGACTTTTCTTGTATGATAACTTTATCAGCATTTCGAAACATATCCAATTCAATTACTTCTTCGCACACCCGATCCTCAAAGGAACTCAACAATTCGGAATCAGGTTGGTCAATAATTGCAGCGTCCATTTTGCGAAAATTGTGCAGTGATGATGCCTGTTTTATACCCCCATCATGGAAGGTAGTTGACAATTAATCTCACAGCATAACGTAATTTATTTACGAAGCGTGCCTTTTTCCTTTACGCAACAGCTTTCCACCTGCTCATTTAATATAAATGACATCTTTGCAGGTCTGTGGCAAATATGAAGCAAAAGTCAAAGACAAATATGATAGTTTCATCACGTCTCAGCATACAAAAAGAAAATATTTCCTTTTCAATGATAAGACAATAATATAAAATCTCCTGTATGTATAGGCCTAATTATTCAGCTCGCGACGTATTTTCTTAGTAGATTTTCTTCAAAACTGAATCATGCTTCCTCGCTTATAATATTTGAAAGCTCGTTAATATTAATTTATGTTTGTTTTGCTTTATTTAATTGATTTCTAACATATTCATCTGTATGCGCGGTGTTTTTACATACGAGCTCAACGCAAATTATATTAAAAAAATACACTTGACAAAGAGCCGACTCTTCGAAAGCTCTAAAAAGATATATAAACATGCAATAAAAATCTATTACAAAAGCCAATATATCTATAGAGGTGCTCAAAATGGACGATCAGTCTGTCAACAAATTAGGCATGCAGGTGGTCCGGTGATCAATATGAATAATCATACTTGTTCGCGATTATAATTATTCCAAAAATGGTATTCATAAACGGTCTAAGGGAGTAAGTGCATTGCATTTACCAGCATTAAATGTTTTATTCTATTATTCTATTATTCCATATGAACGAATGCACTTTACTTTTGAGAATAAAAAGAATACTAAAATTTCAGAACACATGCATGCATTTATAGGATGCCCGAATGTCGTATATATATATAGTTCTTCATTTACATATGATTAAAAAGTTTAATTATCATCTCGGCCGGTTGCCAGGCTTGCGGGATAGTAAACGGAACGCGCGCGCTTACATGCAGACAAAACATTTTATTCATTTTGGAAAATTGCTATATCGATGTATTGTCATTGGATTGGAAAATGTTCATTGCATGGTGCAGGCACACGTTAGGTAATCGATTTAAAACAGATTCACTATTGCTTGAATCAACATGCTAGATGATATAATATCAACAGATCCTGCATGCGTCGCAGGAATTCACATGAGACAAATTGTCCATGCAACCAGATTTTCAATGTCGAGACCCATAAATTGCATCATCTATTCCTGACTTTAAGTCTTCACGGAACATTACACTAACAAGACGCTCTATAGAGCGTTAACACTGGTGGGGCTATACAAATTTACACACATTACTCATGTATATGGCACTCAGGGGCTGCGCTAGACCTCTTTGAATGGGGGGTGTAAATGAATTTTGCCGTGTTATCAAGGCAAATTTTGCCGAGTCACTACAACCACTAATTAATATTTATTTTACCAAAATTGTTGGCGAGGATTGGGGGGCAGGGCGAGAGGGGGGCGGAGGGGACCGCAACATGAAAAAATAATTTTCAGGGGAACATTTTTGTCTATCTTATTTTGCGTCCCCCCGCCCCGTCTGCACACACCCCTCTAGCGCCGGTTCTGATGGTACTACAATGAAATGGGCAAATTGAAATGGGTTATATATATATATATATATATATATATATATATATATATATATATATATATATATATATCCGCGCACGTCCGGATGCGTTGATGTCATCGTGTTGTACCACATGCCTTGGTGAGAGCAAGTTCATGTGATATAAATACAAATGTCTCACGTATCTAGACGTGTACCATGCTGCACTGACGAGGCGTAGAACGCCGAAACATGCACGTATTGTCTGCAGATTGTACTATTACGCTCCTTCACTTCGGTGTTGTTGAGCACTCTGCGGAGTTGTCAATGGGTGTCTAGTAGCGATAATGCTCCTTCCCTTCTTTTTGTTTGAGTACTCTGGCACCACTACACTCTGCGCATGTCTCGATGCGTTGATGTCATCGTTTGGTACCACATGCCTTGGTGAGAGCAAGTTCATTTGATATAAATACGAATGTCTCACGTATCTATAGACGTGTACCAAGCTGCACTGACGAGATTTGGAACGCCGAAACATGCATGTCTGCAGACCGTATACTATATATATATATATATATATATATATATATATATATATATATATATATATATATATATATATATATATATATATATATATATACAGTATATATATAATATAGCATTTGTAAATTCTGAACGCCGATTGGCTAAGAGCCGTGTTGATATAACTCAATGTCAACACGGGAAATTTTCCGCCGCTTGTAAACACGGAAATTTTTCTTATCCTTCGGGCTTTTGTCATTGCTATATTATAAAAAAAATATAAAACATTTTTTCCGTGTTGATATATGTACTATTTAAAACACGAGTAGGAGTGTTTTATCAGATATAAAACGCGAGGCGCAGCCGAGCGTTTTATGTCTGATAAAACACGACAACGAGTGTTTTGAATAACTTAAAATACGACTACAAAAGAATACTAATTAGGATGAACCATTATATAATCATACTAAGGGATTTGTCAGAAATTAGCAGGGGGGGAGGGGGGGGAAACAGGGGAGGGTCATAATTTTTTGAGCCCTTCAAAAGGGAGGGTCATGAAAAAATAGACAGCAAAAAAGGGAGGGTCACGAGAAATTAAGCCATTGTGATCATAAAGAATTTTTTAATATGATTAATGTTTATATTTCAAAACTACAAAGCTATTGAAAGTATAAATGTAAACAACCCAACATTTAATATAAAAAAGGTCTTGTTTTGCATTTATAAAACATCAATTGTCTAATATCTCAGAAGTACTGATCTCAACATCACCATCAGCGCTGCTACCATTACCATAATCTCTGCTACCATCACCATCAGCACTGCTACCATCACCATCAGTACTGCTACCATTACCATCATCTCTGCTACCATCACTACTGCTACCATCACCATCAGCACTGCTACCATCATCATAAGCACTACTACCATTACCATAATCTCTACTACCGCTACCATCACGGGCATCAGCACTGCTACCATCACTATCATCCTCCTCAATCTCACTCATGGAAAATGTCATATATTGCTTGATAGTGTCCTTTGCAGCCACAGTGAACAATTCCTTGTCAAAAGCATATTGGATGTAAGGCAACTGTCTCTTTTTTAAACCAATAATTCCTTCCTGATGTAATTCTAGTGGGCCTATGGGCTCTGCATCACTATCGTTACGTTGAGGTGCAATGGTTCTAACTATCTGTTTACAGTTAGCCTCCATTCTGTTTTGTTTTGCTCTCTTGGCCTTCCTCTTGTTTTGTTTCTGTTTTCGTTTTCTACTTTGTGACTTAGAGTATGTTACCTTAAAGAGACGAGTGAACTTTTCTTGTAATCCTGTTAACTGATTATTAATTTCTGTCACTTTCCTGTGGAGAAGGACAACTTCTCCCAATTGTTTTTCAAAGAACTTATGGGTAGCTTCTTCTCCACTTTTCAGTTTTCCAGTGGAACTGAAAAGTTTGCTGTCTAAAGTTTTTAGTTTGTTATCAGTAGAACTTAGATTTGAAATTATTTGTTTAGCCCTTTGGATGTTATTGTTGATTCGAATACTATCACTAGGAACTAAAGTATAATCTTTGTCAAGAACAACCCCTGCTGCTGCAGGATTTTGTTTGTTCATCATTGAGTTTATTTGCTTGTCAATCTCATCAATTTGCTGTTTTGAGTGATAGAGCTCCCTTCCTGTTCCATGAAATTCTTTAACAAACTGTTTGGCATTCTTGCAATGATTGAATTTTGACTTGTAAAATTCAGGCAGTAATGAATTCATAAACTCGGCCCTTGGTGTTGTAGGATTAGGTATAAATCCCACTGAGGTCGATTTCCAAGCAGACTGTGGTCGATAAGGTTTTAATGGTCCCATTAATACTGTAGACTGCTGTTTCGTGACAGGTTCACGTGCTCCTGCAGCACTTGAAGTATTCTCCACTGTAACTCCCTTTATAGCGTGCTGTGATCTGAAGTCTGCCACTTTCCGAGTAAATCGCCTGATCTCAATATTAGATAGGCCTGTGAATAAAAAGACGCACTGCGATCAGAAAGAAGAATGAATGATATAGAAGGTATCGAAAATATAAAATATATATAAAATATATCCACTATAAATCCACAATTCCACATACATACCAAACTTGAGTAAATCATCATCTTGTACATCATTTAAATGGTCGAACTTCTCCACACCAAACCCTTGAAATACTGTCTTAAATTTCGCCAAGTCTGCAAACTCCAGAAAGATCGATATTGGCTGATCGTTTACATTCAAAGTTTCCTTCTCTGTCGAATTCGCCATGTTTATAGAGATGGAATATTAATAATTTGTAAGCAGTCGACAGTTGCTTTGTGCAGCGGTATAAACTTCCGGTAAATACTTCATGTAAGGACCACAAAACAGTTTGAACCAAAAGAAATGGCGGACAAGAATGCTAAAGAAAAGTCGAGTTTTTCAGAGAAAAGGAGCAAACTCAGGTTAGAGACCAAGTTGTCAGAAAAACTACGGATATCATTGCAGTCGTGCAAAGCGTGTGAGAATGAGGAAAAGATCGAAGGACTTATCGTGTTCTATAGGAAAAATACTTTGAAGTGTCGAATTTTAGATGGTTTGTTGTATATTCTTAGACAGCTTTTGGCTTCTTACGATGGCGGTAAAGCGTTTGGTTATCTCCCATATAGTGAAGCTCATGGGATATTTTGTGGCTTCATGGAACGAGAAACTGAAGATAAGGAATTTAGAGATCATCTTCTGAATGAGGAATATGGACTGTGTGTTTTTGTGACAACAGTGCTTAACACTCGATACATTATTTTGCAAAATGAGACTGTAGATACTGGAAAATTTCTTTTGGAACTTGAATGCCTTCTATCAAAGGAACAGGACAACTTTTCGAGGTTTGATTTGAATGCAGACTCACTAAAACGAGTTCTACAGTCTATGGATACAGAATATGACAAGACAGTTTTGAAGGCCATGATTTTCACTTCGGCGTCAAGGAAGAAAGTCTACGAGCTTGGTATTAAACCAGAGAATGCTGTAGGTTTCCTTAACAAAGTTGTCAATGTATCCACAGAATGTGAACAAGCTATTGAAGCAGCAGGGGATATTTTAGAACTGCAAGATAAGGACAAATTGACATCCATAAATGAAAAAATAGAAGTCATTGAGCAAAGCTTGGGAAAAAAGGAAAGTTTGATATCTGAAAGGCGAAAGGCAGATCTTATTTCAGAAAAGTCAAGTCTAGAAGAGAGAAAAGAGTGGATAGAGAACGATCTGCAACAAGATGACTCTAAGAGTGTTAGAAGATATAATCAAAGAAAACGGAGATTGGCAAGAACACTTGTTCATAACAGCAGGGTGAAAAGACGCAAACTTGGTGCAGGGGCAAACAGGAGTTTGGACACCGAGGATGAGGAATTTATTGCACGATCTATAGAGGAAACATGCACCGCCCATGGTAGGCGCCATGATACTGTACTCTATAGCCATCACCGTGTTAAGAAACGGCACTTTTTATCATTGGCCAACTATAACCTTCATCGCAGAGGTAAGAAACTGATAAAATCAGCTACAACTGTGCTTAACCGAGGTAGACCAAAGAACATTAATTCAAGGGCAGCAAAAGCACATTGTGGAAAGTCACTTTTTTGTTCCAAAAAACCTCCCAAGACTGAAAGTGAATCAGGTTTGGCAACTCATCATCAAAGAGCACATATACGCAATTGCAAGCTTGACATGTTCAAGAGAAGAAATAAAACAAGAAGTCTCATGATTAGCTTTGATGACAAAGCTTACATCAGACCAGGAAGTGATGTAGGAGCCCGTGATGTCAAGAAGGGGGTGATATATGATGTTTCTGACCCTTCAAAAGAAAAACAACTTCCCCAACATGATTTTTCTGAATCAAAGGTTTATCAAACGCCATCTTCCTTTCGGTTTATCAAGGGGACAGTTGAAGACATCAAAGATGAGCAAAAGTTTGTTCACGAGGAAGATCAAACTATTGTCACTGTACGTCCTAAAGGGTATATCGGAAGTTCAGGAAGTGTTTGGGCATCAGATCAACTCCACATTAAATGGGAGGTTCCTCAGCTTTTCGAGCAATCAGTGGAATCAGCGTATGTGTATCCATTGGCCTTACGGAAATTTTGCCATCGTGTGCATGATATATTGTTCTATTTTCAAGATTGCACCATGAAAAACGATGTCATGTGTGTAACAGCTTCCCCAGGTTGCACGTTTAAAGCGTATGAAATGAAAAAGCTTCGTTGGTTGAAAATGCAGCTATCTGAAGCGGCAAGTTCATTCCAAGAAGAAAAGGGAAAGCTCATTAATGCTAAAGACATTGCAATTGGAACGGAGCTCCTTGGTCATATCAATGGAATTCACGAATTGAATGACAAAGTTGATGGGGACACCACAGAAAATGCAAATTGTCTTTGGGCACATCTAGAGAAAGTTAATGTCCTCTGCAAGACAGCAATCACATTCATTGGAAGCCTACAATTGCCACCACTTTGTGACTACATTCTTCAAGCAACTGATGCTGGACCAGGCGTTGGTGTTTCTAACGTAGAGGTGAAGTACAGAGACGTTGAGATGTCAAGAATTAATGAATGGATGCACATGAATAGGATTCACAGGGCGCCTCACGACTCAGGCCAAAATGAGGCTGAGCGTTCCAACGCTGCCATTGGTGAAGCTTTGGTTGACGGCAGAGCATTAAAGTGGGAATATTTTAAGCCAGCGGATATCATGAATGAGGAAGAATTTAAGAAACTCACTGTTGCTGAGATCAAGAAGCTTGAGGCAGAAACGATGGAGCGTAACGCGTGGAAGGTTTCAGAGGAGGTTGTGTCAAGAATTGATGGTGAGCCTGGTCCTGCAGGGGACTGCATGAAAGCGTTTGTAACAAAAAAGAATGACCAGCAGTTCTTTTTTAACACTGAATACCTGCATAAATATAATGCTGGAAAATCAGAAAAGAAGAAAGTTCAAGTCCCTGGGCACCACTACTTCAAAAAAATCGATAGCATTATTGCAACGTGCATGAGTTCTGGAGAAATGTTTCATGAGTACTGTGTTGACCAGGCAGTGCCTCCAACTCCTCGTCCAGTTCCAGACATCACCAAGCTCCCAAAGTTCCACTACTTACCTCTCGAAGATACACCAATAAGAAAGGAAAATGGTAATAGAAGGGAGGTAGATGATTTCCACCCTAGAGCACGCTTGAGAGCACTTCATAAAGAGAAAGCAATCAATGTAGAGGATGCTTTAAGTGTTAAAGCCTTCTGTAACAAATACATTGTCGAGGAGAACCTTGTAAAGTCATACCTAGAGCATCTAAACCATCTAGAAATGATGAATGACAAGAGGAAAACTGAAACGAGAGACAAAAACTTACAAGAAAACAACATGTCTTGTGAAGATTTTGACTGGCAGAAAATGTTCAACGAGGGGACCTTGGCAAAACAGCGTGTTTGCATACTTGACAAGTACATTGAAAAGTATAATCTATCTGCAGTGAGAAACAAGAAAAAAACAGAGAAAGTCAGTGCTATCGTCCATCATTTACAATATGCTGTTTCTGCAAGTGAAAGTGGTGAAGACCTGGTTTTAGAAGAAATAGGAGAGTCAAGTGATCAGCAGTCAGGATCAGATACAATTTGAACACAGAGGGTTTATTTTGGTTTCCAGTCGTAGAAACTATTATCATCCCTTTGAGTCAAAACCTTTCTTTGTCCTGTTTCTCCAACACGGAAATCACTTGCATGTTCTGAACATCACTTGCGTGATGACATCACAGGTTGTAATTCAAGTTTGCTTCTATTATTGATAAAATTATATTACAAGTACTGAAACATTTTTCTTCTACCACTGTATCACATATTTGGAGGTAATATTTATCCAGGGGAGGGTCATAGAATTTTAGGACGAGTTCAAGGGGAGGGTCAAGACATTTCAAGCCCTTACCAGGGGAGGGTCATTGTATTTTTATCGCTCGACTGAAAATCTCCACCCCCCTCCCCCTGCTAATTTCTGACAAGTCCCTAATGTAGGTCTAGCAAGTTGTGACTATCAAGTTTGTGTTGTGCTTTATCTATTTAGCATGAAATTATCGTTGCTTATGTATTGTAACCTAGTCAGCAAAACGGGCGAAAGTCATAGTTTGTATCAAATATAAAAAGAAAGCTATCACCTTTATGCACCTATCAATGTTATGCCCCTAGGGGGGGAGGCCGGGCAATACGTGGGGATTTGACATAGCATGCTCACCCATGGTAGGGGCATTTATTTCCCCTGTGTGTCCCGTGAGTCGGGACATTCGGCATTGCAAGGTCGAAGTCGCAGACTAGTCCTGAGTCCTCTGAACCACTCTCAAATTTTTCCATGTGACCCATCAACCACATGGAAAAGAAATGACGTCGTTTTGCGAGTCATATTTTGCGTCCTTAAAGGAAAATAAGTGAACATCACCTCATTTTATATAAATTACACTTGTAGATCTTGATGTATTAAAATTCACACATATTTTTAATATTTACAAACAGTAAACTCATTGAAGTGTCTGTGATGTTTTATATATTTGTATCAATCTTTCTTCTGTGAACAATGTTTTTTTTATATATACGACATGAAAATGTCCACTAGAATGTATTTGTATACAAATAGGGCTATATTCACAACTAATATTTAATATTGGGCTATTCTACAAAAAACCCTATCCCCCTTATCGAGGACAAGGGTTTTACAATACCCCTGAAGAATTCCTGTTTGAAAACAGAACCCCTGAAGAATTCACCTTGCATACCTCCTCTACCCCTGAAGAATTTAGTGTTTTTACACTTCACTCCTGAAGAAATCCACGGTAAAAATACTTTACCCCTGAAGATTTCCAGTATACATTAGGGACCGTTCATTTTTTATCAGGAGGGGGGGTGGTGGTTTTGCATGCTTTCATTGATAATTTCGTCATGATCCCCCAGCAGATGCAGGAAAATTTTCAGTGGCCCCCTTTCTACTCTACGTTTTCTTCCCATCACCCCCCCCCCCCCATGCATAACCTCTGAAAGGTTTCTAATGTTACTTTTGCAACGTTTTAGGCTAAATAAATACAATAATGCCTATAATTCTTTAGCAATTATTTTAGTAATTGTAACTGCCCGAAATGTTGCAAAAATAATATTAGAGACCATGGCATTTAATAGGAATTTTACATAGATATTAGTCATTTTGATTTTTTTTATTCAGTGTCTTGACTCAACACATGGTGTGATAGGAACTTGAGAAAATGACTGTTGCTACTTGTGTGTTTTGATTGCAATTTGCTCGGAGCAATTTTCCAGTGAACTCAATTTATTTTACTTTATCTAGAATGATAACACTCAGTCATTTGGCAGTTAAAAAGTAAAGTCTTGTGCACAGAGTAACATACAGAGGCTTATCTCAGTGAGAAAACCGTAAGGAAGGTGGTTTTTTGGCCGCCATGTTCTTAGCCAGTACCCGCACATGCGAAGTATGTACGTATGATGCGTCATGTTCTTAGGCAGTCCAGTACAGCTTCTCTCTACTGGACTGCCTAAGAACATGGCAAATTTTTCAAAAAAATCCCTTACGCTAAATTAACCTGAAGTGAGACCTCTGTATGTACTTACTCTGTGCCTGGCGTGAGCAGTGGCATCAGACCTCTCCATGTCTTTTATCTGGAATGATAGCATGCAAGGAGAGAAACATGAAGCCAATGCCATGCAACACCACTTGATGCACGCTGATTTGTAATAGACCGTGCAGTGATGGCGTATAAGGCGACTGAAGCTGACATACTATATGGCACGCTGATGGCGTATAAAGGGACTGAAACTGATATACTACTATTTGGCATGGAGAGCTGACGCCACTACTCACATGTGCATTGCTCATGCAAGGCTTCACTTTTCAACTGCCAAATGACTGAATGTTATCGCCAGGGCCGTAGCTAAGCATGCATAGTTGGGAGGGCTGGGTGTGGGCCAAAAATGTCTGAATGACGAAAGAAATTTCCGAATATTTCATGGCATACAAAGCCACGAAGGTGTTTGCTATCCAGAAAATGAAAATGCAATTTACAAACAAAAATACTCATACTTTACGCACAGACATATCACAGAAGCGTGCAGTTTTAAATTTAGGGTCCCTGAAATGCCATTTCGTGGACTTTGGCGAAGGTTTTGACAGAATTCTGATGGTCAGAATACAGAGTTTTAGCATGTCAAAATTTACAATTAATTTGCTTACAATTTAGAACTAAATGGGGCGAAGGCATATATGGATAATATGATTCTTTGCGGTTTGTCATGGGTAATGTAGCCGCTTAAAATTAATCATTTGTCAGTATTGAAAAAGCAAAAAGCATCAATAATTTTGCCCTATGTGATCAGTTAAGTGGAACCATCAAAGCTCTTCTGGTGGAAAAAGCCAATTACCAGCAACAAATCACTGCACTCAAGAGAAAAGAAGCCAAGTCAAAAAGCTATTTTCTAAACAAGAAGGTGAAACAAAGCCCCAAGTTGAGAAAGAATATCAGCATCGTTGATATGCTATCTATGCAAAATTCTGATGAACTTTCCAGTAATTCTGAGGAAGCGATTTCAGTTGATGAAGAACGGCCAGGGCAATCTCAAGAATTGGAGGAAATAACTACTGTGGTTGTGGAAGATCAGCCTGAGCTCAAACGCACCCATTCTGCATGTTCTGCAGATACAGTTATTCTGGATAATCAGGCCTTAAAATATCAGTCGGTCACGGACATTGTCCGACCCATTCGTGAAATTGTCCGACGTAGAGAGGAAACCACCGGACATTCTGTCCGACCAAAGTGAAACTGAGGTTTATTGTTTGTCCGACCTGAGTGTATTGGTGTCTGACTGAACTGTAGCTTTGTCCACAAAATGTACCCCAGCGCAGGACTAGAGGCTTGTATGTTAAATGGAAAATCAGAGTACTATTGTAGAAAACGTGAACTGGAAATGTTGTTTTAACATATAGTCGAGCGCGGGGCGGCGAGCGAAATGGTGAAGTGGAAAACGGGCTTAAGTCTTTTTTAATACTGCTGTGCTGGCAAGCAAGTTAATTTTGGCTTGGAAATAAGTATGAAAGAAACAAAGTATCTAATATCTTTACAACATTTACCATTTAGTCATTTGTGTCATTCAGACTTATTTCCGAGTCAAAACTGAACTGGAGGTCATATGTCCGACCCAAACTCAACATCACCGGATATTTTGTCAGACGGCCCTGTAAAAGATATTTTAAGGCCTGATAATTCAGAGGAACATTCCCTTGATCTTGATGCATCATCAGTTGAACATGTGGAGAAGATGAATTTTTGAAAACACCCTCCTGTGAGCTATGCACTGATACAAGAAGGGGAAATGTTGTAAAAAGGAATGCAAGAGTCTAGCCAAAGTAGCCATTAAAATTGTAGGAGATGGTTTCATGTTGTTAAAGGACGCTTTTCTTCTCTGCAGTCCAACTGTAACATACACTGCATTACATGCACGCAGAAAGTTGCTTTGTATGCCGTTGGCAGAAATCGGGGTGGGTAATATACAATATGGCACTTTTTGGTATTTTTTAGTTGAAAAGGGAACAGTTAACTACACAATGTTCCAAGGCTTTGCAAACAAGTTTTACTGACGAGTAAAAATTGTAAAGAAAACAAGTTTTCCAAGGATAACTTTAAAAAGCTATTACAAATCGCCAAGACAGACGCTGAAGGCTAAAATTTGTGGCAGTTAAAGCTGGTGGACTTTCATCGACGCATGCAGAGCAAGTATATGGCTTCCGAATGGAAAACGCATGGCAGCATAAAGTCTTTGAAGCAATGGAACATGCCCAAATGATAAAAGAGTCAATAGAGAACATTGCTAAATCAATTGATAAGTTCGCTAGGTTTTGATGTCACAGAAGATGAGAATGAAACGACGATCCGTTGATGAATGCGATATATTGGATGAAGGCGTTTTTCAAGAAAAAGTCAATGAATATAACCTCCTGAAATTACTTAAAGAGAACGAATGCAATTGGTACCAGTTTGTTATGTTATGGTGCTTAGAGATAAAATGAATGGTATGACGATAGAAAACTTTAACCAAGTACTTCATGATTTTTCGGAGATAAATTACCTTCGTTAGAACTGTCTCAGCATGAAAAGATGATCACAGAACAATCTCGTCAAGCATACATTGCTGCAAATAACTTACAAGAGAGAGAAAAAGCTGCCGAAGAATCTATTATAGTAAGCTCTGACTCTGGCGATAGTGAAGCCGAACTTTTGGCCACAGAAGGTGTACCTGACTGTCTAATAGGCAATGTAGTTACGGAAATTTTGAGAAAAAGAAGGGCAGCAATACAGAGAAAAGCAGTGAGAAGAAGTAAAGCCAAAATTGCAGCTCAAAGGTTTCTGAGGAGGCGTAAGAGTATCCCAAATTATTTCAGAGTGTGAAGGTATTGGAGAGGTGGTTGAGGAGTATGTTCGCAGTTGCAGAGTAGGAGCCGATGCGTGGAGGCAAACTGGAGTGCTAACATTTGACGGTAATCGCAAAGTAAAGAAAAAGGCCACATTTAAAGGAATTAAGGAATACTTAGAAAGAAAGTACATGTGAAACTTCTCGTACGGCTCTGTTGTTCAGCTTTGCATCGCTCAAAATAAGCAACGTAAATCAGCTTCGTATTATAAAGGTGTTGCTTGCATTATATCAAAGGCGTGCTCGAAAAGGCTTCAACTTGCGGTACAACCCTGACAGCCACTGGAGCTCGGCGCTGTATTCTGGCTTAAACATGATCCAGCTGCAGGATGGATACTTAATGAATCTTGGTAGGGATGACCAAGCAGGGTTCAGACTAGACAGTGTCCACTCAGACTTCACAAGACCTTATCAGCCAAGGGGAATGCTCCACTTACCACTCATACTGATTATGTCACCAAATATACACTCCAGACATCCTCATATAATTTTCTGGAAACTGAAAGTACCGGTGAAATCTGTGCAGGGATTGTTAAAGCGATACCAGTCCATGCCAAAAATTTTTATAATAAGCGTTTTATAATAGGAATACTGGTTTACCAAAGACAATCGAGTGCATATGAGTTGGTGGTGGTGACGAAGGCCCTGCAGCCACATAGAACAAGCTACCCAAGTCACCATGGTCACCTCAAGAAACAGCGGAGCTAGTTATCGCAACAAAGTGGAATTGCAAATGGTGCATGCCAATGTGTTTATACCATCTACTCTGAATGGCAACTGTGTTGATGGTTCTGGTGAAATATGAATATTCTTGAAAACAACTTGAACTCAGCAATAGATGTGTATATTGACAGAGTGGATGGAGCACCATGTGCATCAACCAGCATTCATCTTTACAAAGGCCCTAAAAGTGATACATACCAAAAAGAAAACGAACATTTTAAAGTGTTTATAAAGGGAAACAAAGCAGCCAAGGAAAAACTCAAGAAAACACCCCCCGAATTGTTCGCCAAATTTGAGAGAGTATGGGGGATTCGTAAAATGCATTTGTAAACTACCTACCCCTTAAAATATATATTTCTTCTTCGGTGCTGTTATAAAGATGGATGTGATCATCCTGTTTGCTTAAAAGGTCGCCCAATTGAGGAAAGTACATGGTATCCAAATGGTCCACCTGTGTCATATATTCCAATTCCTACACCTGACCCGAACCGTCCTTTCGGTGGAGATGAATGCAAAGAGAAATGTTCTCGCCATTACATGAAGCCAGAATTTGTTCTTTCGATTTGTTTGTGCTGAAACGCATTTTCTCGTATAATACCCTGTACACTTTGAAATGGCGATGCCACAATTTACCCCGCAGCAGAGAGCTTTTATGGTATCAGAGTTCCTCTGTAGCAACAACATAAACTTGGTTCGCCAAAGTTTCCCGAAAGAATATCCAGATGTACGATGCCCTTCACGTGCGAATACGTGAAGGGCATCGTACATCTGGATATTTGTTCGTAAAACTTTGGCGAACCAAGCTTATATTGTTGCTACGGAGGAACCCTGATACCATGCATAAAAGCTCTCTGCTGCGGGGTAAATTGTGGCATCACCATTTCAATGTGTACGGGGTATTATACGAGAGAATGCGTTTCAGCACAAACAACTCGAAAGCACAAATTCCATGGAAATTCCACGGAACTCTCATGGGAGTAAAAATGAATTCATAATGAAGCAAGAACAGCACCAACAGAGAAAAATGTAACGTTTTCATAGGCTTTTCGGAGGATTTGTACTCGGTAAAATCCTGCCGAAATTTTATCATAAATGCAACAAATAGCGAACTTTTCATACATGACCTCAAATAAAGAATACCGTTTGTCATTTCCGTGCGCAAGCCACTTTTAGGAGAGCAAAAGTTGACCACCCCCTGGATAGCAAAATTTACTATTTTCAATTTTTTTTATATTTTCCATAATTTAAGAACTCAAGCAATCCATACATATAAAAAATTACATTTCATGAACAGAATTGTCGAATTGAGAGCAATTTCAAAATTGTCTTACTTTTTTTGATAGACCCTGTATAAAATGTTATAATGCATTCACTGATATATCAAAGATCAAAAGACTAGAATAGAAGATATTGGCTAAAGAAAATGCGAAGAATGAGAGCGAAAAAGAGTTTTCAAAAGAAGAAAACAGAGGATCTCCTAAGCCCAAGCTACGCCCACGATCTTTAAATTCGTCACAGACGCAACCAAATTCCAGCAACAGAAATGTTCTACCACCAGTCTGTGTTATTATTAAGCAAAAGAACTCTTATTTTAGAGATATGGTAAGTTCGCATGGCACTCCAGTCATTTCACAAATTGAAATAAACCATGTGATTTGGATTGGAATTGTACTACTATTCAGGGCTGCCGAGAGCTTTTCGGGGACCCAGGGCAAATTTTTTTCGGCTGCCCCTATTCACTAATTTTTCGGAAAAATTTTTCCGGACAATCACGTTTTAGTTGCTTTCGTGGCACTTTCCCCAACTTTTCCGATACAAATTTCGGTACTTTGGCAAAAAAAACCCACTAATTTTTCACCCGATAAAACAAATATTTTGCTCTAAAAAATTAATGGGACCCACAAAAAAATGACTAGGGGCCCCCACAGCCTAGTCCCTAGGCCTCTTAGTACACCTATTTCATGTTTCTGCATATTAATGAGGTGACGGCTCCTGAGAGGCCTAGAATAAAATGTTTCAAGTGTGCCAAAAGTGGGGACAAATTGTAACCACTTGCTGTATTGAGATCAGTGGCTTGTGAAAATGGTGGCGTTCTCATGAGCGAGTAAAATGTTTATAGATTTGTATCAAATTGACTTTATATTGCGACAAGTTGGATTAAAATTTTGTGGTTTTAATATATATTGAATAGAAACAGTGGTACATAAATTAACATCGGAAAAGCAAGGTAGTAAGTATGGTAGTAAACGCGGAATTGATGCCAACAAAAAAAAAAAACACAAGAAATCGGTGAGAATTTAGAAGGTGAGAATTTATTGATCGATATCCTGGCGGGATAACCCTGCTGCAATGTAGAATATTAACTAAATACATGGTAAATATAATGATATTCATCAACACACTATATTGAAATGCATATATTCGCCTGTTTTAATTAGAACGTTTGAATATTTGCGAGCTTTGAGCACTGTTTAATTAAGAATTTATAGATATAGATGTGTACTTGTACTTGCCAACAATTTTTGTTTTATAATTTTTGTTTGATGTTTAGGAAATGTTTTACCCATGACAGAAAATTTAAATGGTGCCATATACATGCATATACAGGGACAGTTGTCAAGAAAATATAGAATTAAACAAGGTCATATTTGAAGAATTTGGTGAAAGTGGTATTTGTGCATGATAAAGTTCAGGCAAGACGTATTGGACAACATGGATGTACATAATTTTGCTGTTAATTTATTTCGTCAATCAGGAACTGGCTGAACTGCAGTCTGCATAGTATCATGTTTGTAATTTCAAACAAGAATCACCTGATCCTTGTTGGGTCTTCCGGGAACATCGGTATTCTTTTCTTTATATTCAAATGATACTTGTTCGAACTAGTTTGTGTTAGAACAGTCACAAGGTACAGCATCTAATTCTTATTAGTATGTAAAAACTGAAGCAACAATTTCTACACAAACAGTCCAGATGCACATGTGAACAGGAATAGAGTAAAATTTGGAGATTAATGTTGTTAATTTAATACATAATAATAAATATATTTATTGTAATAAAATTATTGTGAAATTTATTATTATTAAAATTGTTATTGAATTTTTAATTTATTCAATTGTTGAATGATATTATTACAGCTCCATTAAGCAGTAATAAGTATAGGTAATCACACAGGAAGGAGTGCAATTAATGATTAACACTACAAGTGATATTTGAAAAATGTGCCAAAATTGCACGAGCCGCAAGGCGAGTGCAATTTGGCACATTTTTCAAATATCATGAGTAGTGTTAATCATTAATTGCACGACTTGCCTGTGTGATTATTAATTTATTATATGCATGACAAAATCGCTTTCTTTATATTTCAACTGCATTTTGTCAAGAGTTTTTAATTCTTTTGTAAGCAATTTGGTATAAACAAACTTGGGAAATGATTATAAACTCATAAAGGCACATAACTTAAACTAGAACACAAGATCAAACTCAAACAACATATTTTAGACTAAGAAAATCTTTATAAATTGCATTTCAAACTTACATAGTCACGTTTGGCTGCATCCCGCCAAGATTATTTCTTAAAATTGTTTCCAGGTATGAAATAATTGCACTCCTCTTAACCAATCAGATTGCAGTAATTTTGTCATGTATATAATAAGCCCCAAAACATAATCTTTTATTAGTTACTCTTCAGAGAAAGCATCTATTACAATTATTACTTTTATATATTCAAAATACTCATTAATAATTCATAAACCTTGTGGCAAATCATGTCGGCCATAATATGTCATGTGGAGTGACTTTATATCTGATAAAGCATGAGGCATTATATAATTAGTATGATTATATAATGGTTCATCCTAATTAGTATTCTTTTGTAGTCGTATTTTGAGCTATTCAAGATACTTGTTGTCATGTTTTATCAGACATAAATCGCTCGGCCGCGCCTCATGTTTTGTATCTGATAAAACACTCCTACTCATGTTTTAAATAGTACGTAAAATATCCAAAAACTTTCTCCATGACAGGTTGCAAATCACATCCTCTTGAAGGTGACAAATTACAATACAACCAGTCTAAGCCCTCTTCAACAGATATCTCTTATGATACAGGTCACTGGATACAGCAGCTGGTCTACAGTAATTGTCATGACGTTGTCTGTATACGTGAAACCTGGTTGAACGATTCAGTTATGTCATCAGAAATCCTAACTGGCTATAACATTTATCACAAAGACAGGCTTGGAAGGACTGGTGGAGGCGTTTTAATTGCTGTGAAGTCTGACATTAGGTCCACTCATCAACAAGACCTTGAGAGAGACAATGTTGAACTTGCTGTTGTTGAACTGATTAAGGATAACAATAAGTCAGTTATTCTCTATACTGTTTACCATCCCAAACCTGGACCAGAAGACTTGCACAAGCTTAATTTGTCTCTACAAGGAACTCCTGAATCAGTGTGTGTCGTAGTTGTTGGTGACTTTAACCTTCCCTCTCTAACTTGGTCACCTGATGAATCCGCCCCTACTAATGTTGGCGGGTCTCAGGAGGACAATGAATTCTGCATCCTAACAAAAGATAACTTCCTCATTCAATTTATTAAAGGCCCTACGCATATAGCAGGAAACAAACTCGACTTGATCACTACCTAGTAGATTTCTCTATACGGCTGAAGTTCAAGCGAGCAAAGCATGTGCAATGTAAAGCATACAACTACAAGATTTCGAGGCCTTTGGTAACCGTCTGCAGCTTAACGCATTAGACATGTCCATCTCTGATTATGTTGATCTCTACTGGTTTCGGTGGAAAGCATTATTTTTAGCTGCAGTAGAAAAATGTGTGCCTGTTAAAGTTATAAAAGACACAAACTCTCCTCCATGGATTGATGGAAGAATCAGGCACCTCCTGCACAAGAAATATCGAGCTCTCAAAAAATACCGCGAAAATAGAACTGAACAACGCAAACGTAAACTTAGATCTCTAAGTAATGACATCAAAATCCTTGTCAGGCATAAACATTGTGATTACCCCAACAAAATCGTGGGTTCTTTCTGTGAAAATCCAAAACTGTTCTGGAGCTTTCATAAAGCGGTATTACATCATCGCTCTGGAGTCGACTCTGTCATTACGCATAGTCAAACAGCCAAGATGTCGGGAGAAAGAGCTGAGCTCTTTAACACATACTTTTGCTCTGTGTTTACTTCTCCCAACACCGTGCCCAGTACAATGCCCTCTAACCCCAATCGATCGATGTTGAAATCTCTGATGTGCGGCTGTCTGTGGAAGAAGTGGAACTTTGCTTGGCTGGCTTAGATTCATCTAAAGCCTCCGGTCCAGATGGGATTCCTGCACACATTCTAAAACAATGTAGCAAGGAAATCGCACCAAGTTTTTATGTGCTTTGTTCAACCACTCTCTGCGCACTGGGCGTTTTCCAGCTGAATGGAAGAATGCAGACGTAACACCTGTGCACAAGAAAGATCTGAAGGAACCTGCTGGAATCTACAGACCCATCTCTTTATTGTCAATAGTTAGTAACGTGATGGAACGCTGCGTCTGCAACAGGTTCTATGCCCACGTGTCATGTCTAATCACCGAACTTCAGCACGGTCTCATGCATAATCTTTCTTGTGTGACACAACTCCTGCCTGTTCTCCACTCTATTGGTAAATCACTCGACCGGAACACTCAAACTGATATGCTTTATTTTGATTTCGCTAAGGCATTTGATTCTGTAGACCATGTCATTCTTGTCCAGAAACTTAAATGGTATGGCATAACGGGTTAACTGGTTTAAGGACTATCTCAACTATAGATATCAGAGAGTTGTGATAGACGGTGTTGTTTCTCAGTACCTACCAGTCACCTCTGGTGTGCCCCAAGGAAGCCTCGTTGGACATCTGCTGTTTGTCATCTTTATTAATGACTTACCTGACTCGATCCAGGAACAGACAAGTTCAGCTCTTTATGCAGATGACCAGTAGCGTAGCCAGCCCAACGATTTCGTCCTGCTATGCAAATATTTTCGTGTTCATTGACTGTGAAAACAATCAATTTCTAAAGAAATGAATAATGATAATAATTTTGAATTTGCATAGCGGGACGAAATTATTGGGCTGGCTACGCCACTGCAGATGACACAAAATTATACCACTCTATTTCGTCCCAAAGTGACTGTGAGAACCTGCAACATGACATATTGAACCTAAATACTTGGAGTCATAACTCCAATATGAAGTTTAATGCCTCCAAGTGTAAGTATTAACGGTCACTCGGAAGAAATCGCCTCTACTTACGGACTACCACCCGGACAACGCCATTTTACAACACGTTCAACAGAAAAACGAACTAGGAGTTATCGTCAAAAGCAAGCTATATCTTGGGACACTCGCATCTCCTCAATCGTCAGCAAGTTAACAGGATGGTCGCTCTCCTGAAAAGAACATGTCCTCTCATCACAGACACCAAAGTTAGACGAACACTTTATCTAGCTTTGGTAAAGTCGCAGCTGTGCTACACAACTGAGGTTTGGTCACCTTCAAACGCAAAGTTGCAGATTCTCTTACAACAAGTACAGATACGGGCAACTCGATGGATTCTAAGAACTAAAGTTGGTGAGCTGTCATATGAAGACAGGCTGAAATCTCTAAACCTATTGCCACTAACTTATCATCGAGAAATCAGAGATCTTATGTTGGTTTATAAATGTATTTTTGGTCATACCGATTTAAACATTAATCAACTTTTAACCTTCATAGAGCATGATCGATCTCGCGCACAGAATCCAATCCTAATGCTAAAACACTCCTGTTGTAAAACATCCACCTTCAGGCATCGTTTTTTAATGGAATAGTAAAGCCTTGGAACCATATATGTAAAATAGCCTCTCCAGAAAAGCTTGCCAGTCTAAATATTTTTAAAAGCTTTTTGCACAAGACATACACTGGCTTGGTGAACAGTACTTTTAGTATAGGTAATCACACGGGAAGGAGTGCAATTAATGATTAACACTACGAGTGATATTTGAAAAATGTGCTAAAATTGCACGAGCCGCCGAGGCGAGTTTCCTAAACTTTTCAGCTTCCTAAACTTGGGTTAATAGTGCTCGGTCCAATTGTTCGGTAGGCAAAATTTCGCGAGTGGTCCACAATAGTCTGTGGTCCACGAGTATAATCCACGGACCAGGTCCACGAAGGTAGACCGCGGACCTGAGGTACATGTTTTGTCGTTTCCCAATCCTATGGGAGGTTTCGGCTACCTGCAGGTTTATCAAAAGGAAGGTCCTTGGAAGGAAATTCCAAATATAACTTGACACCATTAATCCACCCATAAACTTGAGTGTTGAAATTGATACTTTATTCCAGTATACCAATAAAGAGATGTGGTAGATTCTGGTGTGAAAAATGTTCCTTGAAAAGTAAAGTAACTACTTTTCACTAAACCATTGAGACTAAAGTGGTGGGCCCTTGCCCCTTGATGGATTGACAGAAGTGATGATGATTAAATCACAGACTGCAGAAATGTTGTTCACTTGTGCAGTTGAAAAGCATCATGTAAGACAACACTGTTTTCAGGGGTGATCAAAGCGATCACGCGACTAAGGTAAAAATTGCCCTGCTAGAAAATTGTTAAAGGGTGCTTTAGAGAACGACGATCGACAATATCTTAAAGAAGCGAATAGACGGTGTACCCAAGCGTTCTATTGTCGAATTATTGAGCGCTGTGAACAACACAAGTTTCTTCCTCGCATGCAATTTTGGTATGGAATCTTACATCCCGAAGTATGTTTGAGAGAAAACAAAAAAGATTTGTATGGCCCTTAAGGTTAATATAATATTCCATTTTAACTAGATATAACATTTAGCTCTTGTACATTGAGCGTCTGTACGTATAAAATTGCGTACGCCGTATGTGTATAATAAAGAGACGAAATTTACATAAATACTGCAGCTTAATACAGGCAATTTCAGTTTGTTTATACTTTGTTTATGGCTTTATGCCTCTATTAATCAGAAACTTTACAATATTAATCAGACACTTTATAATACTGTCAATACTGTATTATTTTACCTACAATCTTGGCAAAAAGTTCGTAGAACGACAAAACAAATTCGCAACTTTTTAATATACTTGGGTTTTAAAATCATTTTGCACCTCCCCCGCTCCCCCATTCAATGTTGCTCTCCCACATTTCTAGTACACATACAATTTTGTTGTACAGTTGGTCAGATCATAAATATACACGAAACAGCAACATTGAATGGGGAGGAAGGGGGAGGCCTTAAAAATGCATAAAAAATTATCGTTGTCCTATGGTTTATGGCCAAGATTGTCCGAAAATTATGTTTTTAATCCTTGACATATATATGTATTAAATTTAGAACACCAGTTGTAGAAATATTTAAAAATGTACTTATGTTCTTGTATTACTGGATAACACTTCAAAAGTCATTCTGGTATTCCTAGATATTGAATGATAGGTAGATATTAATAAATATTGTATACTGTAATTTCATACCGGATTTCTGGGTAGGCCAGGCCTTAATCTTCTCCTCAAATAGCATATATGTCTATTTTGAACCGGACAGTAATGGTTATAAAGGCAGACTGATACAACGTAATTATAGATATATTTTAGTATACATATTTTCCATTAAAGCTACACACGCCAATTGACAAATAGAATTTTTAATTAATTTTGCTGTGTAAGATACCAACATATCATAATTATAGATATGAGGAATATATTCGTAGTTACTAAAACATGGAACGACCCACAACGATCCACAACGACCGCACTACGCCCCCACTACGACCCACAATGACCCACAACGACCCCACAACGACCCACTACGACCCCACAACGATCCACAACGACCCACTACGACCCACAATGATCCACAACGACCCCACTACGACCCACAACGACCCCATAACGATCCACAACGACCCCACAACGACCCACAACGATCCACTACGACCTCACAATGACCTCACAACGACTCACTACGAACCCACAATGACCCACAACGACCAAAACACCAGCCACAACAATCCACAAGTTCACAACAATCCAACAACAATCTCTGCATGCGCAAGTGGAAGTCTTGCATTTCCCGCCAATTTTGATCACATGTAATAATAAAATACGTGGTGTATCCACAAACAATAACTTATATTGTTTATGTCGTTGTTGGGTCATACTGGGTTGTTGTGGGTCGTTGTGGGTCGTTGTGGATCATTGTGGGGTCGTAGTGCGGTCGTTCTTGGGTCGTTGTGGATCGTAGTGGGGTCGTAGTGCGTCGTTGTGGGTCGTTGTGTGTCGTTGTGGGTCATAGTGCAGTCGTTGTGCGTCGTTGTGGGTCGTAGTGGGGTCGTTGTTGGGGTCGTTGAGGATCATTGTGGGGTCATTGTGGGGTCATTGTGGGTCGTAGTGGGGTCGTAGTGGGGTCGTCGTGCGGTCATTGTGCGTCGTTGTGGGTCGTAGTGGATCGTAGTGGATCATTGTGGGGTCGTAGTGCGGTCGTTGTGGGTCGTTATAGATCGTTGTGGATCGTCGTGGGTCATTGTGGATCGTTGTGGGTCGTAGTGGGGTCGTTGTGTGTCGTTGTGGGGTCGTTGTGGATCATTGTGGGGTCGTAGTGGGGTCGTTGTGGGTCGTTCCATGTTTTAGTAACTACGGGAATATATTGTGTGCGCAACAACGAATCGTGTTTATAGCCACGTACAGCAGAGCGGACACTCAGAAATTTCTTACAAAAAAGAGCTTTGCTGATGCCATTGTAGAGGCATAGACGGTGTCAGGCTTTACAACAGAACATTCGGTCGTCCTTATGATGTGATGTTGACCAAATAATTAAGTCTGGTGCCGTATCGGACAAAATATTAATCTATATATACATATACATATAAATGAACTCTAGTAGCTTTAATAACTAACTGACAGTACTTGTGAACAGTACTCACAGTAATTGCTTAATTTTTCGTCGGATTGTAAATAAATACATAAAATATATGCGACATTTTGTTCATTGTTACTGTCCTTACAATCTCATGGCAAATAGGTAAAACAAATTGTATATTTGAAGCAATAATAATTGACATTACTCATTAAAACCTCCAAACTTAATATGAGATATAGACATTGTCTTAACTCATGTTATGGCGAGTACTGTGATTGTCCTTTCCAAAGGCCCAATTTTCCTACAAAATACCAACAAACAGAATTGCGACACTTATGCCAAACATTTAAAAACATTTTATTTCAGACAGTGAAATCATATATGTTCGCTTAGCTCTTGTTTCATTGAGTACTGTCACTGAGTACTGAGTGTCACGATACAGAAAGCCCTGCGGCCTGCACGTCTAACAATTACATATTGATTTGCAGCATATTATTATACTGCAATGAGCTCTCGCAATTACTCTTTGTTATGTAAAATGAAGGAGAAAATTTCCATTGTTTACATTACTTGCGCAAATTCATATATGTTCGCTTAGCTCTTGTTTCATTGAGTATACTGTTACTGAGTACGGAGTGTCACAATACAGAAAGCCCGGCGTCCCGCACGTATAACAATTACATATTGATTTGCAGCGCATTATTATATCGCAATAAGCTCTTGCAATTACTCTTTGTTATGTAAAATGAAGTTGAAAATTTCTCTTGTTTACATTACTTGTGCAAATAATTCTCAATTATCTAAACACATTGGCTTAATTTCAATCTAATATCGTATAGATTGCCTCTTTTTTGAACAACTGAAATATATATTTAAACACAGATATTTCATAGGAGTATGGTACTATTTTTAAAAAAGCGATTGAACTTTGATAGTTTGATTGAACAACTTCTACTAGAGTAAGACCATGATTGTCTTATACGTAACCTGAAAGCAAGTATAACTTGAGCAGCTCAGCAGAGTCACCTTGACTAAAGACGCACATAGTACACAGCGCCAACACATATAACAATCATATTTGATATTTCTATGCAGAATAAATTAGCACAAGTGTCTTGTACAAGGTTAAATGCATTTTTCGTGGAAATGAACATGTAGCAATTTTCAGACAGTAGTTGTCTAGTATAAACTACAAGCACATGACAATGTGGCATGGCTTTGTGTAATACAATCTCTACAGTCTACAATGCTACTGTGAATCGCTATTCATGGCAGTGGCACATGTTTCTGTTTTATTTATTGCTATCAATTACACATACTAGAAACTAGAAAGCATGGTTAATACTTAATATGCAATATTAAATCAATACTTTGTACTAACCCCAATTTTAGAGCCTTAAAGGGATGGACCATTAGAAAGGTAAAGGGGGTTATTTTTTCCATATTTGCAATTTTTTCAGATAGCAATTATGTATGTAATCTTTTTATGGATATGTTATTGTTACAATTTTGTTTTGAGATGTTCCTGATGAATGTTGACGAGTAAAATCGCCTGGCGTTAGACAGGGTAAAGTAATAAACTAGGGTGCATCTGGGTGCATTGCCACTTACAGGGTTAATGTTTTCTATCTTAGATCTGATGTTACTGGAAATTGCTTGTATAGACTCTGCATCCTTGGTACAAGTATGTAACAATAGTCTAATGGGACCATTGAGAATCTTGACATCAATAGAGCTTTTTACTAATGCTGAATTTTATTCTCAGCACCACACTTGCTTCTCTTCTGTTGTAAATGAGCATGCTGAGTACTTAAGCAAAAGTATTAATAATCTTTTACCCATGTCTGTTTCTGAGGAGTGTTTAGACACAGGTTGCACTAAAACCGACTTGGTTAGACAGGAGGCCATTTGTAATTGCAGTGAGATGAAAGTGGTCATCATTTCTCTGCATATTGGGTCTCATATCTAAGTAAACCTAGTTCTTCACTAACACAAAAAGCAATGTTTTAAAATCAGGTGAGACACCCATGGCGAAAAAGGTAAAATCACATGTCACTAATTTTGATGTTGTAATGTACAGGGATATGGTTAAGGGAATGAGCTCATCTGAAATTTGCAATCTTATCCAAAATGTGTTTAGACCTGACAAAAAAATTCATTTCTTAAGACTAGTGGCAGAAGCTTCAGGTATGATTGGCTAGAATTACATTCATGGCTTTGTTATTCACCTTCTCAAGATGGTGCATTCTGCCTGTCGTGTGTTCTGTTTGGAGATCACTTTCCTGGTAAATGTAGCAAAATTATAATTTATTTTCTCAGCCTCGTCACCGTTCGAGTGGTGCAGCATATACTATGAAACATCATGCTGGACAGGGTTTAGGTGGGGAAATTTAGCCTGCATGCATGTACCTTCCCTATACTGACATCTTTACTTTCTCAAATGTCAGGGAAAGCACAGCCTATAGAGGTAATTTTAGAAAGAAATCGAGGAAAATAGAAAGAAACGTGCCTCAATTGTAGATTCTGTTATTTTTTGTGGCCATTACCATTACGTGGTCATCGTGATGACTCTAAATACCATCAAGAAGTTGGCAATTACTCTACAGGGGGAGTTGGTGATTTTGTAGATTATCAAGTGTTGTGGTCAGGTGATCAGTGAACAGATCATTCAAGATGTTAAGGCTAGTACATTTTATTCTATTATTGCAGATGAGGCTGCAGACTCTTCTCATAAGGAGCAAATGTCTCTTGTTTTACATTTTGTAGACATGAATATTCAAGAAGAATTTATTGCTTTCCTTCAGTGTAGGTGGGGGTTAACTGGTGAACAACTTGCCAAGTTAATCTTGGAAGCTCTTAACAACCTGACGTTATCTATTGATGATTGTCGAGGGCAAGGTTATGACGGTACAGGTGCTGTGGCGGGACATATCAATGGTTTGTCAGCTAATATTTTACATATTAATGAGAAAGCTCTTGAAACCCATTGTTATAGTAATCGACTTAATTTAGCTATATGTGATTCTTTGACTGTTTTTGAGGTCAATACTATGATGAAACATGTTAAAGAAGTGGCACATTTTATTAATATCTCCCAGGCACGTAACATGCCTTTTGAGGAAAATGTCCACAATTATCCTGAGAGAGAAACTCAGAAAAAACGGCTGGTAGATGTTTGTCGGACCAGCTGGGTTGAGCAAATTGCGGGTTTCGATACATTTATTGAGCTTTTTGTCCCTTTATATGATACCCTCAAGGAGATGAAAGATAATGTAGAAGGGAGCTATAGACCAAACCTTGTCACTGACGTTTCTCATTGTTATGATCTTGTAGCAAAGTCCGAATTTATTGCAGCTTTGATAATTTCCCACAATATTCTTGATAGACTTCTTCCAGTAACTTAATATAACTACAGGGAAAGAGTATTGATATTATGGATGATATTCATTTAATTAATACTATGAAAAATGACTTTATTAACTTTAGAAATTCCATTGATTTTTTCCATGATGCCTGGTATGCAGAGGCATTGGATTTAGCTGAAAAAGTTAAGATAGAAGAGAGTAAACCACAGACAGTAGGGAGACAAACAACTCAATCCAATCCTCCATATAAGTCAATCCTCCATGTAAGTATTCCTGTAGTTGACCATATTAATTCTGCTTTACAACACAGGTTTGACACTGATAGTGTTAACATTTATAAAGGATTAAGCATTGTACCAACAAAGATGATGTCCTTGAAAGAGAATGGGAAAGATTGGCGGGATGAATTCAAAGTTGTTGCCAATATTTATATTGACAAATTGCCTTATCCATTAGCTCTAGATGCTGAGCTGTCATTGTGGATGACTTATTGGGAGTCTTATATCAAAGTTATTCTCCGTATTTTCATAACAATTCCCATCACTTCTTGTGAGTGTGAAAGAACCATTTCAGCATTGAAGACACTTACGAACTACCAGCATAGTACAATGGTTGAAGAACGGTTAAACAGTCTAGCCTTGATGCAGATTCATCAAGAGATTGTCTCAGATATAGAAAAAGTAATTGATAAATTTGCAGTTGGAAACACGAGGTTGAAATTTACTTAACTTTTTCGCTTTTATATAACATGTTTCAAACTCCTTTCACTCAGGAGCAAAGGTGTGAAGGTGAGGGCACCTTGAAACCAGTCAGCTTAGGCCCTTTCCTTTGAAAGAGAGCTGTCCATGTCGGAATCACAAGATACACTTATGGTGTTGTGTTTCCTAGGCATGCTGACGAGCCCTAACATTGGGCGAAACAGTCATTTTCCACGTAACATTTTTTTCGTAAAACTGGACACACATTAATTCACTTGGCGCCCCCCCCCCCCAAATGTTCAGCTACGAAATGTTTGACTAACATACGAAAAATCCTAGATCCGCCCCTGAGTGTCTTCACAACAACAAAGTATCTACAAACACATCACTGCAAAGTGCCTAATTGATAGAGAAAAGACCTTGCCATCTGGTTATCTTAGAGGATACCAGGGTGGGCAGCAATACCAACAACATGGATTTTTATAAAACCCACCTTAAAGCATTGCAACTTCAGCTTTTCTACGATGACGTAGAAGTTACAAATCCCCTTGGTAGCAAGACAGGCATCCATAAACTAGGTCTCTTCTACTACGATTCAAAACCTGCCTTTAAATGTAAATTCTTCCATGAATAGTGTATTTCTTTTAGCTGTTTGCTATACTTCTGACATAAAGAAGTATGGCTTCCAGCCAATCCCTGATCCCTTCATGAAGGAAATAAAACAACTGAAAAGTGACAGTGGGGTCAAACTTCATTCGGATGGTAGAGTTTGTGAGGTTCATGGTACTTTGGTCTTGAACAGTGCAGATACCTTGGCTGCACATGAATTGCTGTGTTTCTTGAGTCTGTCTGCTAATTTGCTATGCAGGTTGTGGAAGGCAACATGAGAGACAATCCAAATCTATTTCGAGGAAGATTTTGAGCAATGTGAAATAGATGACCATGATGACTCTGTTGAAGCTGCTGCCCTTCTCCGAAATGGAGATTCTGGGACAGGTGACTGCACTTCATGCCCTTTTAAACAGTTTGCAGAACTTCCACTGTGTTACAAATTAAATTCTTGATGTGATGCATATGCTTGAAGGTGTATGCCCCTATGAAGTTAAGCTATTGCTTAACCACGTTATATTCCCTGAGCAGTTCTTCACATTGTCCGAATTGAACCAACGTATATAAGATCTTTCCACTATTCCAAAACCAGGGTGCGATAATTCGCGTACCAACGTACCGGAAGTACGCCAAATTTATGGTCTGGTACTTCCTTGTTTTTAGGCAAGTACCACGTAGGTACGCAGAAATTTGCTATTTGCGTACTTACATTTTCCTTCTAGCAATAACTAGCAAACTTGCCAACGTATTCAAAACCGTGAATAATTTTAGCTATACATGTAAATTCCACGCATCCAACATATTTTGGGATGAAAAAGGCCAAAAGGAAATCGCTCGGGTGAGCGATTTTAAAATCGTTATCGTCATACGCCGATAATTTTATCGTTTTCGTTGTAGTGTGGACACCAACATAATTTTTTTACCAATTATCGCGTGTTTACAAGTTATCGTATCATTATCGTATCGTTATCGTTGTGTGGTGTGACCTGGGCTTAATTGTCAATGCTATACCAAGGCCTAAAAATAAAATACCTGTGGTTCCGGTATCCCGACTGACCCTATTTTTTTCTGCCCACCCTATTATTTTTTTCAACAGGATTGACCATGTGACCCTATTTTCTCCGGGTGGTTGCAGGCTGCTCGTACAGCGTGCCAAAATGACGGCTGTTGTCACAATAATTATTGAACCAAATTGCCTAAATTGGGCCGTAGTAACTATGCATCTCTAGTTAATAATGTCGGGACTCTACCGAAAATCGCCCAGCAAAACCCTCGAAAACCGTGAAAAAAATGTTCAACATTTTTTTTATTTCCGACCTACCTACCCTATTTTTTTCGCGATATGAAACCGGAACCGCAGGTATTTTTTTAGGCCCAATGAGGAAAACTACACTGTATGTGGCTGAGGTCAGACTGTTAGCACCCTCGGTAAATCCACTGTAAATGAGCGATGGCATTCGAGTCACAACGTCGACGCTTTGAAAACTGTTATATTATGTTGTACAAATACCATAATTAAAGATTCATTTGTACAAAATTGTTAAATTGCTCATACATTTTTTGCTTTTGGACCAGTAAACTATACGTAGGTATAAAAACGCATGACTCGGAAGTAGTCTTAGGTACGTCTTGACTCTTAAGTTTGTACCAGTCCAGGTACGCGACAAGAGTTGTCGGAGTACCAGTCAAGTACGGCTAAAAATATTGAAAACTGACAAGAAGAATAAACCAACTGTTCTAGCATCTGATCGATTGCAAAACACCAAGGACAATAAATTAGGTCAAAAGGCAGCACAGATGTGGTGTCTTGTTCGAATGCTTCCACTTCTTGTTGGAGATCGAATTCCACAAGGGAATATTCACTACAATACGTTGCTATTTCTCCTTCAATGCATGGATATCATATATTCCCCTTTGGTCTCCTAAGTCAAACTGCTTACCTGAAGCACTTGATTGCTGCATTCTTTAAGATGCTTTTTCCTGGAAGCAGAATGATCAACAAGTATTACCATATGATACATTATCCAAATCGCATACAAATGTTTGGCTCTATGGTAACAATGCAATGCTTGAAGTATGAACTGAAACATGGTTTCAGTAAACAAGTAGCATCTGTTAATTGTAATTTTAAGAATATTTAGGTCAGTGGCATGCAAACACCAAGTTTGCAATGCGCTGCATGGTCTGGAGGTGCAATGAGGGCTAACATTGAATGCTTAACTCATTCTCATTATAGCAATTTTGTAGCAATTTTGAGTGGTGTTGTTTTAAACGCAAATATCTTTCAAACTATACATCTTATGGAAACAGAAATTGCTTTGTTCGAAAGAGGAGAACTTCCACTTTCCAATGATTTCAATTTCATCACAAGTTTGTTTGACGTATTAACTTGCATAAATTATGATTTTAAAAAATGTTGCAATTATGCATAAACATATTTACCGGTTCAAACTTCAAATATGTCAACAATTTTATGAATGTAACCGAAAGAGACGGTTTTGATCTACAAGTACCCAAAGTTTTATGCATGTAGTTTCATGCATGTAGCATCAGTGGAAGTATTTTTACTGAGTTTTTTAATAAACTAGGTAGCACAGTAAAATGTACATTATGTGCTCACATGAAACAAAACCCTTCCCAAAGGTTCTTTTTTATTGCTGCAGCATATTTATCAATACTTATCACAACATTTCCAATATTTTTCCTCTCCAAGGATAGTATGGCATTAAAATAAGTCTGTGATACCCACAAAAGAATGCTCAAATCACTATTTGCAAAATGTCTTTATTTCTACAGTTACTATATACATACTTAGATAATCAGTACACCGTTGAATTAGTTACAGTGGCATAGCGGGCCTGACAACTTGGTCATGCTACGCAAGTTTTAAATAATGATTACGCATTTCTTTATGAATTGATTGTTTCACAATCTAGAACATGAAAATATTTGCATATAGCATGACCAAGTGTTGTTGGGCTAGCATCACCACTGGTAGTTACAAAAAAGTGTGCCAAAGCAGATTCATCCACACAATTGGATTATGAAAATATTTCCTTTTTTGGCACAAAATATATATTGGACCACAAAAGACCTTAGACTATAACTTATATCACATCACCACATCATACCCCATTTGATGCTGCGACGAATCTGTGTAAATCCCTGTATAAATCTCAAAGTCGCAAGTGTAACCATTAGAACTGTCTGTAGCAACCTACAGATTTATTCCCCACTTAGTAGGCTTATCTTTCATGAACTGCCTAATCTCTGGCCTGTTCCTTGATTTGACCATTTCCTTAGTGAAAAAGAGCCAAAAGAATTCAAGCTCACAGTTCATACTTCTGGTGAAAGCTTGATCAAGATAGATCATATTCAAAATCTGGGAACATATTCCTAGTGACAGGATCACCAAATCCCTCATGCACTATGGGGCCTAGTGGGGTGCTAGACAAGGAGCTTTAACCGTGGGTGTCCTAGTGGGCTTCCCGGCTCTACCTTTACCCATCCCCTACCCTTCCCTCTATGCTTAGACCTTTTCCTAATGGGGGAGTGTGGTTCAGATATAAACACTTAATAAACTCATCTGTAATGCTTCTATGTACTTATAGAAGATTTATTTGTAAGTAAAAGATACACGTCTGATTTATGTCTAGGTGTTCTAGCGAGTGTGAGGTTTCTATTACTGTCAATCAACCTAATTGATGTATGTATATAGCTACTATATATGGACATATATTACATCCCCCTTTTTCTAAATTAAAAGTAATTATTACCAAATTATATATAACGTAAAATGAATTATTTAAGAAATCAAGTCTATCTTTGGATTACGTGTTCGATTCAATATTTAAGTAAAGATATTCAAACAATATGGCAATCATGCTCCATATGTTCACGTCTTGTAGTTCGGGTTCTGGTTTATCCGTCTGCCATAACGGCTTGTCTTCAGTTGAGGTGGGTTTGGCGCTATTGGGATTTGGATGTTGTTTCTTTCTGCATTGGTTGTTGGTTGTGGGATCGGGTCTTGGGGATCGTCAATATCTGGTGTGTCTAGGTCAGCTTGATGTTCTCTAGTCTTTCGTAGCTTGATGTTCTCTAGTCTTTATTACGTAGCTTTGTGGTGCTTCGTGCTTTTGTATCACCGTCGCACGGGTGAGCAGTGCGGTCATGGTGTTTTCTCTGTTGTTGTTTCTGTTGTTGACGTGCTGCGTGGAAAGTGGTTCTGTTGACAGGTTTTGGATTAAGCTTTCTTTGGGATATGGGAAGGGGTGAGCGGAGTCGTCTGCTCATTAGGGCTTGTGCTGGGGAGACGCCATCTATAGGGGTGTTGCGGTAATCTAACAACGCGAGATATGGGTCTTGATTGGCGACTTTGCATTTTTCAAGAAGGTTCTTGACTGTTTGGACTGTCTTTTCATGTAGACCACCAGACTGGGGGTATCTCGGGCTGATAGTGTTATGGATGAAGTTGTAGTCGTTAGTGAACTGTTTGTACTCTTCGGATGAGTACTGTGGGCCGTTATCGGAGACTACACTTTCTGGGATTCTGTGTCGACTGAATATGGACTTTGTCTTGTTGATAACTGTCTGTGCTTTCGTGTTTCGAAGTTCAGAAACTTCGGGGTATCGGCTGTAATAGTCAACAACTATTAGATGCGGTTTTCCATTCCAGTCAAAAAGATCAGTGCCGACTTTTTGCCAGGGTGGACTGGGAATTTCATGAGGATGGAGTGGTTCTCGTTGGTTAGCACTGGCGTGATGAAGACATGTGGAACAGTTCGACACTAATTCTTCAATCTGGGAATTCATACCTGGCCAGAATATGCTCTCCCTAGCCAATCTCTTTGTCTTCTCAATTCCTTGGTGTGATTGGTGGAGTTTATGGAGGGTGTCAGCTCGCAATGATGGTGGAATGAGTATGTTATGGGCCTTGTAGATAAGCCCACCTTCGGTTGTCAGTTCTTGGCGATATGGGTAGTACGGTTGTACTTCACTTGGAACCAGTATCTTATGATCTGGCCATCCATCTTGTATCTGTTTGACCAAAAGTTGCATTGTTTCGGTTGTATGGATTTCATCTTTGATGGCTTGGAGTTTCCGGTCAGTGACGTAAGACTCGGATGACATCAGATGGATGAATCGCTCCGAAGCTATGTCTTCTTCAAATTGCTCTGGTATTATCTCAGGGGGAAATGCACGTGACAGCGCATCAGCGATGTACATTTCACTTCCTTTCTTGTAAACCAAGTTGATGTCGTAGGCTTGTAGCTGCATTAACATTTTCTGGAGGCGACTTGGTGCTTGTGACAAGGGTTTTTTGAGAATAGCTTCCAGAGGCTTGTGGTCGCTTTCGACAGTAATGGTTTTACCATAAACATACTGATGGAATCTTTTGCAGGCGAAAACAACAGCCAGCAGTTCCTTTTCGATCTGTGCGTAGCGTCGTTGTGTGTCGTTCATGGCTTTCGATGCGTAAGCTACTGGACTTTGGTTTTGGATTAGAGCAGCTCCAAGACCGTTTTGTGAAGCGTCGACTTGGAGTGTCACTGGTTTTGCTACATCGTAGTAACGCAGAGTAGCAGGGTCAGTTAGTAAATGCTGTAGATCTCGGAATGCTTTCTCGTGTGTTTCGAGCCAGTGGAATGCAATGTTCTTCTTGATGAGTTCTCTCAGAGGTGCAGTGACGTCTGAAATGTTCGGTGCAAACTTGGCGATAAAATTGACCATGCCTAACAGTCGTTGGACGTCATGTTTGTTCGTAGGTTTGGGGTAATTCTTGATTGCTTCAACTTTGGTCTCGTCAGGCTTGACACCATTTGCCGTAAGCGTTTCTCCCAGATAGGTTATCTTGGTTTGTCGAAACTGACATTTGTCTTTGCTAAGTGTCATATTGATATCTGCCACTCGATTGAGAACCCGTTCAAGGTTTTGATCATGTTCTTCCAGTGTTCGTCCCCAAATCAAAATATCATCGATGTCCGTCTCACATCCGGGTAAATCATGAAATTTCTCGTTGACAGTTTTATGAAACACCTCTTGTGCAAACACGACACCAAATGGTATCACAGTAAAGCGATAGCGACCAAATGGCATATTAAATGTCGTCAAATAAGAGCTCTCTTCGTCAAGTGGCATTTGCCAAAATCCAGAGTTCGCATCCAGTTTACTGAAGAATTTGGCGTCTGTCAGGCGGCTTGTCATCTCCTGCTGTGTGGGGAGTTGGTAATGCTCTCTACGCAGAGTTTTGTTGAGATCTCGTGGATCGATGCATATACGTAATTTTCCCGAGCGTTTCTCGTTAACTACCATGGAGTTTACCCATGCCATGGGTTCGTTGACTTTCTTAATGATTCCCCTGGATTCCATTTCTTGTAGTTCGTTCTGGACTCGATCTCTCAACGCTGAAGGAAGCTTACGAGGTGGATGAACAACAGGTGTTGCGTCAGGGTTAATCTTAATGTGATAAGGGTCTGATATGCGCCCTAATCCGTCAAAGCATTTGGAATATTTCTCGAATATCTGTTCACTTGTAAGTCCGTTTAGTGAACTTTGAGGTGACGCGTCGTTAATTGGCTTGTTGCGCAGCTGCTCTACGTTATGAAAGGTTATAAGTTTCATACTTTTACAGTTTGTACATCCGAGCAAGGATTTGCCCGTCTCGACCACTTGAAACTCGAGTACTTCAGTCGCTCCTTTGTATTGACACTTTAAATAGCATTTTCCGATGACAGGAATGTTATGGCCCCCGAAAGCGGTCAGTTTTGCGGCGCTCGTTTTGAGCTTACTACGATGTTGTCGTTTTGGAACAGCGGCTTCGAAATCTTTCTTTGTTAGAACGTTTGTCTCGGCTCCGGAGTCGAGTTTTATGCGAATTGTCATGTTGTTAATTTTAAGAGATGCGTGTTCTTCGTCATTGTCACAGCTGTCTTCACCATATCAATTCCGTGCGTCGAGGAGTCGCTTTCATAATCTACATCGTGAACCGATTTCTTTGGGTTTTTAGCTTGCGATCGACATAGTTTGGCAAAGTGTCCTAGTTTGTGACAGTTATTGCACTTTTTCCCATATGCAGGGCAAGATTTTGGCTCGTGAACTCGACCACAATTACCGCAGGATTTGTTTGGGGTTTTTTCGTTTTCCGGTTTGATGTTGTGGTTGCGAAAATTCCCTCTGTAATTGTGTTTTCGCTGGTCTTTCCCCAATGCGTTGACAGTGGCGGAACTCTGATCGCTTAGCGACTTCACTTGCTTGCGAGATACTTCGGATGCTTGGCATATATCCAAGGTTTTCTGCAGGGTTAACTCGGATTTACGAAGTAGACGTTCTTTAATACTTTGGTTACGAATTCCACAAACTATCCGGTCACAAATTAGCCCATCGTGAAGTGTCTCAAATTCACATGTTGCTGCGAGAGTGCGCAAAACAGTCACATACTGGTCGATGCTTTCGTTTTCGTTTTGATTCCGTATGTTGAATTTGTGTCGTTCGAACGTAATGTTCTTTCTCGGGTTACAGTAGGTTTTAAACGCTGATTTTAGCTTGTTTGTTGTTCTCTTCCACGTTGTTGCCCCCTCTTGGTTTGTCTCTGTTTCTGGCGTTGCGAACGTCAAGGTCTTGTGAACTTCTCGGCCTTTCTCTCCAATGCATAGAAGAAAGTATGAGCATCTTTCCTCTTCAGACCGTCCTTTCAGCTCAGCCTTCTCGAAGAGCGTCCAGTGCTCCTCAAACTTGCGAAAGTTTTCACTGACGTTCCCGTCTAATTTCAAAGGTTTAGGCGCTGCCCATTGAAGGTTTCCTGATGCCATGTTTACTGCTTTTTATGGCATCCCACTCCTGACACCATGTAATGCTTCTATGTACTTATAGAAGATTTATTTGTAAGTAAAAGATACATGTCTGATTTATGTCTAGGTGTTCTAGCGAGTGTGAGGTTTCTATTACTGTCAATCAACCTAATTGATGTATGTATCATAGCTACTATATATGAGCATATATTACATCATCAGAACTGCTACTTCCCTGAGGCTCTGAAACAGCAGCAGGAACAGGATCAATATCTTCATCACTACAAATAAAAACATTTCTATAGACATAATTTACACGATGCCACTTGAAATCATAATAAAAATAGACTCAAGAGCCATACTAGTAAGATATATAAATACTTGACCAGTCTATTATTTATGTAACAAACAATCAAACATGTGCTCACGGTTCATTTTACTTTGCCTAGGAATCAGTCTTTTTTATGCCTAAAATACCATAAATTTTCATCAACAATATAATTTGTATTGGTCAAATTCGATGTGGAAGGACTAATTCAACACAAAAAATGCGATATGAGGTCATACTAGCGACGTTACTAAATGCAAATGATTTACAATGTCATTGGCAACGGCAAAACATTGAAACAGAATGTCTAAAAATGATAAATACTTGCCTTGAAACTCCAGACACAACTCCCAATGCCAGGATGAGAAGATACTCTTCTTTGTCCAAAGACATTCCATCGTTTATACTAGCACTATCAGTTTGCAAAATAAGGTCAAGAAACATCTTGACAGTTGAGAAATGTCATTCTTACAATGTGACAATACATTACAACGCTCATGCGCGATATTTTCCATCAGGAAAATTGCCATACGAGGTTTGTTTTTCTGCCTAAGCCAATCAAAACCGCATCTAGGGTAAAAAACACTCCAGAAGTGATTTCTTAGGAAACTCTAATGCTTTACCAAGAATTTGGCGTCCGATGTTGGCCGAACACTTTCCGACCACAAGAATCGCCATAATATGCATAGATTATTTTGCAATTTCCCGAGACTGCTCCAAGCTATAGAATGCAAGATGACGATTCTTTTAGTATATTTGTCTTTATCTTACGTTGAAAAAAAGCAAAGATACAAGCTGTTGAACACGCACGAAAACGCACAATGTGACAGCGAAATTGGTAATGTGTCATTTACATAAATTTCACCACAGTTATCGTTTCAAAGTAAGAAATTCACTCTAAATTGAGCGAGAAGCAATAATATTGTATGAATATTTCACAATGTATAGTACTGGTCAAGCCGAATTTTTTGGTGGTATTTTCGTATTTCTACTGCAAGTACTCGCGGAGTTCTTTAATATTTAATCTTTAATATGAAATCAATATTGGTGGATCGAATTGAGTTAAAAGGGGGCATGACTGCAGTTGAGTCACAGATACGTTATCAACTGCAGCTGAGTCATATAATACGTTATCAACCAGCAAATAACTAAAAAAAATCATGTGCGCCATCACATAAAGATGCGACCTTTTGACATGCCTAAAAGTGCACAATTTTTTTAGAAAACTTTCGCCTCGACTGTCGATGAAACATTGACGGTCTTGTGTCCACAAAACATACTGTTTCCCTCACTCCAAGTAAATAAGTGTCAAATGTTTTTCAAATTGGTCAACAAGTTGTGTTCACACTGCTTGTCCCAAGTTGTCAACAAGTTAACAATTTGTAACAACCTTGTTGATATTATCAGGCTTGTTACAAGGTTGTTCCAACAAGTCCAATACAGTTATGATATAGCAGTACAACCTTGTAACATTCTTGTTCATCATGACTGTATCAGACTTGTTAGAACAACCTTGTGACAAGTCTGATAATGCCATCAAGCTTGTTACAAGTTGTTAACAGCTTGTTCCAAACTTGTTACAACAGCTGGGTACAAGCAGTGTGAAGACAACTTGTCAACAGCTTGTGAACAGATTTGTAATAACTTGTTTGCAGGCTTGTAACAACTTGTGCATTTTACGTGTGTATAGTTGGCATGCATATATGTGTTGTCAGTTTGTTATACCAACTGAAGAAATACAGCATCACCAAAAATGTTGAGTTTATATATAACAGGGATGAACATACAGCCTTCCTGAACAGCCGTCAGATGCTACTGGGAGAGCAAGGCTATGAATGCTATATACCACTGGTTTAAGGTAGTCAGGCATGCACCATACACATGATTTCACCACAAGTTGTTATTCAATTAAGTTGGTATGTTGAGACTGCTGAAACAATGCAACTCTCTTTTTAGATGTTTTCACAGGTAAAATTTGTTTAAAACGTAAAAGTAGTAATTAGCAGTTAGTATAATTCCACTGTCCTACATCAGAACAGAAGACCATGAAATTATGAAACTTGTGGGAGGTAACATGTACCCCTATAACCATATTTACATGTAGCTATTTTAAATTGTTTTCAACCATACAAGAATCCATGCAGGGTTCTGTAAAAGGTGAGGTGCACATTAAGATTACTAATTATACCCAGGTATGTGAAAACATAGCGGAGTGCAAAGTTGTCCTCCATTTGTTTATGTCATGAACGGTTTTCGACCTTATGTGCATGCGCAGGTACAAACTCTGTTGAAGCAATTGTTTTTCATTTTGAAAGGACTTATTTTGCTATTTTACGTCAATTTTTTAAAATTTTGTTAAAAAGTTTACAAAAGTACAACATGGGTTTTTTCTCGGTTTTAACTGGAAATAAACCTGTAGTGTCGTGAATTAGTGGCTGTTTAACTGTGAAACAAAGTTTGTATAATAATTGTTTTGATATTGATTATATGATCGTTGTGCCGGTTTTGGTAAGTGTAAACATTTCAGTAATAAAATTCCATGCCGTACTTGCTTGTGTTGTCGGTTTTATTCATATAACTGCGGAATTTTTAAGCCATTCTTAACTTGATAATTCACTTTAATGCAAGCTGGTATGTATGCATGAAATTGCAGTGAATGTTATCGTTCATTATAAAGCTAGCGCATCAGTTGTGTTTTTATGTTTGTTATAATGTTCTAATACTTTATGTGGAGTTTTTATATTTCATCTGTTAAGAAAGGCAAGGGGTTGCTGCATGCATATATTTTCTAGTTAATACTACAAAGCACCAAATTAAAGCTTAAAATGGAGTGACTGTCTGATTTTCAATTTGTGATTTTCAATTTTCTTACAGATTTGCTGGATGAACTGCACTCTGCGAAGCAACAACAAGCATGCGACACATGTTGAATATTTTCAAAGACACTTATCAACACCGGCGAAGTGTCATCAAAACGTCGCAAATGACCAATATCATTGGAAGAATATCCTAGATTTAAGTATGTGCCAGATCTGGTACATTTCATGCAGGCACCTATACCGTTACATCTTGTGTACCGGTTAAAGGTAACAACAGTTAATATAGATCTCACCAGAAGCGTCATTTATACCTGAAGGAAAAAGTTTTTCTAATCGATCTGACGAGGTGGACTTTCTAGCTAACCTGCTGACATAATGATAGGAAAGTAATGCAATAGTGTGAATTTGTAAAAGCCCCTCATGTTTATTCATGTTTTTCTGTTATAATTATAGATCAATTTGGAGTTCCAAATGATGTTGTTGCATGAGTGTGACAACTTTATTACAAAATGGGGGGGGATTTTTCCAAGCCAGGACAATTGCGTTGGGCAAGCAAGATTATCCGGCAGTTCAACAGCTGATCAGCATTAAAGGAGAAAGTAAGTAGAGTCATCACATGCACACTCTTATAGCAGTTCCATGATAAAAAATCCAGAATTATGCAGCCCTCCAATGTTTACTAATCCATAATAACCGGTTCCCCTTATTGCATATTCTGAATACAACTACCAGCATGCTTTTCGGATGTGTTATTGCATAATGAAGAAATACCCACAAAGTATCATGGTTGTTGTATTCAGAATACGTAATAAGGGGAACTGGTTATTAAGATATCACATCGACTATTGAACATCTGGCCCAGGGAGATGTTGCACCCCTTTTTCCACGAAGTTGTGCCACATCTTGTATTTTGTGTTGCATATTTTGCCATTCTCGTGCAACATTGTTGCATCAGCCAGATTGATCCTCATGCCCTACTTTAACTTTTATTGATTTGCTCATTTATTGTTGTATAAGTGATCTTTGCGCATTACATGTATTGGTGTATATGCTCCACAGGTCAAAGTAACAGAAAGAAAGGAAAATCTGTTCCAGTCACAAGAGACGGTGCAAATTTCCTATTTGTTGCAAAATGTTCCGGTAAGTGCAGTATACTTAACTCTTTCTCGCCACAGGCCATATCGCGTCGATCCTGAGCGATCGACGGCTATAAAATTTTATACCTTCGGTTCAGTGCATGCTATGAAGACAGAAATACCACCAATCGATTCAGAAATAAAAGATAGACTAGTTCCAAACGATAGTTATAGTCATTATTAACATTGTAACGATTTATGGGCCTTTGAAAGTCAAACACGATAATATTGTATCAAATTACGCAATTGTCTGAACAAAATATAGACTAGCCATACCTTTCGCTGAAAATAACTTCGGCCCCTTCGCACATATCGTCTTTGTTATAGTCTTGTTCGAATCCCCATCAAAAACACTATTTAGAGTGTTATTTGCAAGCCTGTATCTTCAAATCTGTATCTTTTATCAATATATTTCCATTTCTTGTCCGACTGTGAGCTCGAAGTGAGTTAATCCCAACCGGAAATACGTCTGAAAACCGTCAAAACAATGCGACGTTTGTATCATATGACCCTGGAAAGGCCAGAAATGGATTCGCAAGGTCAAATTGCACCTACACGCGTGAGTTTGACGTCATACCGGCCAACAGGAGCTTCTTATTGGCCAATTATTGCGCAATGTTTGCAAGTGCGAGTAAAACCCGATATCTTGAAAAATTCAAAATAAATATTTCTAGTCGGCGTATACATACGAAACTTTCTACACGAAAGCGCTTGGATACAAAGAGTATTTTACACATATAGCCGTTCAGAAAATGACGAAAAGTTCAAGAGATATTCAAGATCTTGTAGATATAAAATCTAGAATCTTTGGCCAAGCGGTGAGTAAATATATGATTGTTTCGGTTTGTGTAATGCTCTGACGGCACTTGACCCCCCGTTCGAAAGGTTATTTTATTAGGATTTCAATGGTGGCTTTTATTTACAAGGGGGGTAAATACTCGCCGAGATATTTATATTAGAAAAATTGTGTCGTAATCTGATGCGAAAGGGGGTGGTCGAAAAAGAGTTAACAGACAGTGGCCCTAACTCTTTTCATCTGAAACTCATTAATAATTCATGAGTAAATTAGTCAACCATATGTTACTTTATTTTGCTCACATGATACTACTGGATACCCGGTGAAGTATATTGATCCAGTCCTAGGACTGGATCAAAATTAATTCAGTCCTTCAACTGGATCAAAATTAATTCACCTCACTTTAAGCAGGGTGTGATAATTCATAATGTATGCCAACATTACGGTCTGGCACTTCTGTCTTTCCAGTCACATACCACGTAGGTATACGCGGTACTGTTGTTATCTGCATACTCAACTTTTTGCTTGTACCATTTGACCTTTCCAAGTCCAAGTTCTTCAAAACCATAATTTAGTTGTGGCATATTCGTTCATTCTCATGCTGCGGTGCATGTTAACTAATCAATTACGGCCTTCTTGACATGAATGAGCTGGCAAATGATAATACGAATAATCCGGTGAGCAATAATATGAAATAAACCCATATAAAGTCAAGCCCAAAAGCTGATTTGCTCAGAGTGGATAAACAAATTACCATTAATTGAAAGATCAAAACCACCTAAAAAGTGGAGTGCCTCTATATCTAATACTCGGAAAATAAAAGCAAACCAGATTTTCCTGAATCAAATAGGTCCCACCAGCAGCAACCCTCAGAATGCCCAAATCCAACAGCAGCAACGTCCCCTTGCAAAGCATTTTCAAAACGACCAACCTCCACGATATGCATCCCAATGCCAACAGAAAGATTGGCTAGACTGGGTGATGTAGTTGCAGAGTGACGTCAAATTCCTAAACCATGCCTTAATTTCACCCCCTCGGTTTGTATTACCCAGCATAGTCCATGCCTCCAGGAACCAAATCAAGCTACTCTTAGCAGATGTGATCATGCAAGGCATTTCAAAAATTGTCAATTAATGCCAATCCCCATACACAAAGCCCCAATTGCCAAACCAAACCAATTTTCAAAATAACCTGCCCAATAAAAAGCTTTCCTACCATCTCTGCTTTTATCCAATGTAAGTTCTCTTGCACTAAAATCGATTAAGTTTGCCACTGTGCCCATAATGCAAACCTAGCCTTAATCTGTTTAACTGAAACTTGGCTTCAGAACTACATTCAAGACTCTGTGGTAACAATAAATTGTTTTAATTTAGTGCAAGGTTTACGTCGTCGTCGGTGTCGACAGCAAGGTTTATACATAGCGGTATTTGTCAAAAATTCAATTCCCTTTGTTGTTCTCGATGATTTAACTAAACCTACTATAGAAGTACTGTGGATTAAACTCAAACAATGCCGTTATACTAGAATACATCATGGACTGCTTATCATCAACTGAATCGCGACACTCCAACTGTGGAATCATTCTTCTTGGAAATTTCAATAAACTTGAAGATTGCAAGGCTAAAAAGTAGTTATAACATAAACCAAATTGTGAACTTTCCAACAAGAAGGCCTAATACGGTTAATAATTTCGGTTACCCATAAATCAAGAATTGCCAACCTTCATATATGCTAATAGCCCTTCGGGTAATTATGTCACAACTACACTGCTTTCAACTTAGGACCACTTTAAATAGTATAGATTTCAAGTTTGTTCCTGACAGGCTATGGTCAGAGAAACAGAAATCCTTCGTTAACACATGCATAAAAAAGGATTTTGATTATTAAATGTGGAAATAAGCTGAAACGTGAAAATGAGGCGGAGGGGAGCCTTGTTTTCGTGTTAAAGCTTATTTCCACATTTATTGGTCAAAATCCAAAATTCTTTTGTTAATTAGAAGATGTGAGTTTTTGTAGGGAGGGGGGACATTTGACCATTTTAGACAAAGAGGTCTGGTCACCTAATTATCTCCATGTGTTCAAGATGGCAGAACAAGCCATCATCATTGAGCTGGAGAGGTATACCAAGCAACACTCATTTTTGCTCATGAATTATTAATGTTATCAAATATAAAATTGAACCCTCCTCTTTAATGCCTTATAGATTAAACATGAATGTGAAATTAGTGGTGAAATCACTGAAATGAACGAGATCAGCCATCGAAAAGGTGAGCACAGTTCAGACACCATAATTGGTGCGCTTATAGAATATAGTGTTTCTACAGAGACTCTCAGGGTACCGACAATTAATAAACTTAACAGCAATACAACATTAATGATGGCCTTGTTTTGCATCTGGATTTTGTATCTGCATGGCCTGGTCTTAAATATGCCTTCCAAACCTTTCTGTGCATGCGTACAAAGGAGAGTCACCTGATCATAATATGAGTTGTTAAACAGGGTTATACATTCTTGAAAAGCTTGTTTGTGCTGCATTTATAATTTCTTTTAATACTACAGAAGCACAAAAATGTGTAAAGTTGCTACTCTTGTCTACTTGGTTGATAAAGGCAATTGTTTTGATAGAAAAAATTGTAAACAAAGCTTATGTAAACATGTAACAGTCACCACAGGGCACAGCATGTTAGCAATGTGTATGGTGTATCAATATTTAGGAATTAAAGCTTTTTGTTATCTAATCTTTATTTCAAATAATTTAAATTTGCAATATGTTTATAGACATTGAAGCTAATACTAGTGGCCAAGAAAATAGAAAAAGAAAAAAAAGAAGATATTGAGTATGGTTCTGATCAACCAGATGACACCATAATATTAAGTCGCTTAAGTGCCATTGAGGACGAAGGGCCATGTCAATCAGCTGACACTGTAATATTAAGTGCCACTGAAGAAGGGGACATGTCTTTTAAAGCAAACACAACCTTCAAGTGGCCTGGTCTATAGGTATAGATTCTAGTGACATATTTTCCTGTCTGATTGCTGTGAAATAAAGTATCTCAGGCAGCATAGTCAAGAATTCAAACTATTTCCTACTTTCTATCATGAGCTCAAGCTGCCAATGTATGCACCAATCTCGTACTTCGCTCCTGCCTCACTGGCATCGGCTGGTCATGTAACCCGTCATATTCTCACTGGGAGTTTTCTCTCACAATATCATATAATTTGAATATTTATGCATGAGATGATTAGTTGGTCATCCATATACACCATGTGATTGTCAGACAGTATACAAGTAGCACAAAATCGGCGATATTTTTTTAGCATTTGCCAGCGAAAAGGAAGGATGGCGTTGAAATGTTTTGGTCATCCAAATCACAAGTGTTGCAGCCGAGCCCCGCCTTGGGAATTTAACAAAACGCCTTGCTTACACAGAAGCAAGTTAAACCTCACCAACCAATTTGACTTGTTCTGCATGTCGAGCATGTGTGAATCATCCTCCTCAACCGGCTGTACTTGGGATCAGTTATCAGTCTGTTGTCACTACAGAATTTAATTGGGTCGTCCCTGTGAGTTTAAAGCCTATAAGTTTTCTTTGGCATCACATACAATTTGTTACAATGGCATATATAATACACTTGAGACCACCGCAAATGTTCCAAGTACATAGTTCTCTATAATTCTAATTGTTAATGCTCAGGAACGCTCATGGTATGCCTGTAATTTTCCGCATCTGCATGTGTTTGTATTTTCCACACATTTTCTTAGGTACAGGTTTTTAAAGTCATAACTGTTGTATTACTTGTCGAGCTTCACAGGCACTTAGTTGTATAATACTATTTTGCTCGTATGTTTGAATTCAAACTGATCCATATTAATATGACATTTTAGCAAGTTCAAATGCATCGAAGCCTGATGTTGTCCATGGCATATATTTCGTTCTCTTGCGGGGTTTAAATGTTTCTTAATGTGCGATTGGGCGAGGTGGGTACTCTTAGAAAAACCCTACACATTACTTTGTATTTGTGTCTGGTTAGCAATTCACACGCATTGTGTGCTGTTATTTAATAACTTTATTTATTTAATAGATTTATTCATCTTGATTGAATTTTGATTTTTGGGGATATTTTTTTATACCTGCTTGCCTATGCATGTTATTTTTGCATACACTTTTACAGTTCTATACATCTTACACAGCCTAACTCTCAGTGGGAAAATGCGTCTTCACTCGACCGTTCAATGGCTAGAGCTCTACTAGCTACCATGGATTTGTAACTTACTCAGTTTGTTTGTATTTCAGTGGCGCCGCATTTTTTCACTGCATGTACCCAAGTTGCAATGCACCATATGCCTAGTCTATCATTGTCTATGGTAATATGTGGCATTTATTATGTTTGTTGGTATTAGATCATAGTGTTCAACAGGTTATCTAAGACTGCTTTTCATTCTTTAAGTGCATGCCTTCTGCATTCTAGTGGCAGGTTTTTCCATTGCTCAAGCGGGCAGTATTTTGTTTTCACTCGTTCATTTGTTTTTCACATGTCACTGTGTTTATCTGGTGATTTCCCAAGTGAAATCCGGCCGTTTTCTCTTACTAGACTCCACAAGGAACCAATCCTTATTGAAGTTATGTTACTAGTGCTGGAATTCAATGCACAATATCAGTGCTGGAATTCAATGCACAATATCAGTGTGTTCAAATAAAAAGGTCAGAGTTTTATTATGCCAACACGCTACACTGGCAACCGCAATCAGGCTTATATAATAATTTACACAAAGATGGGTTTGATCCATCGTTATTATGTTCCTTAGCTTGAGTATCATTCTCAAGTAGATGTTTAAACGTTTGTGTCTGAGAGTATAGTAGATGCCATATTATTATCATCGGCACTCTAGCATTCGCTTCCAAAACACTCAAAAACGAACGTTCATTTTAAAACTCAACAATTCCTGATTTACTTTGTCTTGTTTAGCAATAGCAGTTGTTCTGTAATGGATTAATCAAATAGTTTTGTTTCCCTGGGTACTACGTAAAACTGAGTTCGGCATTGGAGCTTATAAAGTTCTTTGCTTTACCACCAAGCGAAGTTCATTATCCCTCAAGACGAAAAATTTCAGATGTTGTTCATTTCAATGAAGCTAAATCTTCATTCCGTTTGATTCTCTTTCCATTATAAAAAAGGTTTGAAAGGTTTTCATTTGTTACTTTCACTTGGGCAATTCTCTTGGTTATGCCGTGAGACATGTCTGCACTGCACCATATTGTGATACAATATGAGAGGTCAATGAGAGGGCACCAGAGTGACATCAAAAACATGATATCCTATTATTAATACCAACGAAAAAGTACAATATTTTAAGATAAGATAATTTAAACATGGCATATATTGAATGTTTTAATATTGGCATATATTGAATGTTTTAATATTACTTATTTACATGGACTTTTTTTCTTTTTTGAGTATGCAGAATGCTGTATGTGATTTGTTTGCTAAACATCACAAATTAGGTAGTCATTCTGTTATTGCCCAATTAGAAGCTCAAGAAATTGACTACAACAATGCTAAAAGACACAAGAATCGCACAAACGATGCACTAAGAGCTGTTAGACAATACAACGGATGAATGTGATGTTGGAAGTCTGAAAGAAGGCGAAATCATTGACCAGCAAACGTACAGCAGAGATTTTCCATCTACTGGATCTGTTTTCGATTTTGGTGTTCGAAAACATTTATCAAATCCTAAAATTGATCAGTTGTCATCAATTTTGAGAAAACGAGAAGAGAATAATATCCCCTGGTTGTAATAAGAGTTAAATAGAACGTGTTGTGTTATGTACCAGAGCAAGATTGGATCAAGATCTAGCCTGCGTGGCAGGCAGCTTTTAGGGAGGCCATAGCAAATACCACCTGCCACAAAACTAGGTGTAAATGAATTACTGCCCCTGAAGCATCAAAGCGTTTTATAGATGTCATATTGATTAAGTAAATATTCAAATTTAGCCACTCCCATCCTATTGTAAATCGGGTGTTGAAATAAACATCCTAAATGATAGACTAGCGGAAGCACATTTAAACGATTTGCCAAGCACTTTGAACAGCCACCTAAAGCATGAACTGACTGTTGGTTTCGAAACAGAAGGTCAAAATAATGTTTTTGAAAGGGTTCGATGGGAAACAAACAAGTTATTTTCTGCTGTTAGCAAAAGTTTCCATCAAAATGCGTAAGTATGGTCAGCAAATGCGTAATGCAGTTACCTAGCCTAGCCACGCTATGTCCGTTGCGAAAAACATAGGTTTGTAGATTACGCAGTAAATTCTGGTTTGTTTTTGCACAAAACAGTCTACCCAACTTGTAAACTTCATTCTGCAATAAGTCTTTAACGCAGATACTTGTGAGTAAGCAATAGTTGTTTTGGGCCCTGTATTGGCCAAGTTATATCCACGTTAAGAAGACTGTCTACCTTACTCTATCTTGGCTTGAAAGAAGAAGCTACACATATATCTACGCCATTAAAAGTTAAAGTTTGGTGTGTTAGCAAACCAAAGTAAGTACATAGATAATAAGTTGTTTTTTGCGATATTAATAGTTGCGCAAAAAATGTTTTGCACAAAAGTGACTTTAGAATAATTTGCGCCATGTCATGCATGATTCAGTTCTGTTTGTTTGTTTTGTATTTGTTCATTTGCATGCGCATGTATTCTTGTAGGCTTAAGATCCGCGCTAAGTCAAGGCAGCATTTCCATTTCCAGCGCTGCTAAATTCAGGTCTAGTGCATGCTAATTGTATAAGTAAATATTTGCATGTATACTATTTAGTATATTAATTAGTATTAGTATTTCTTGTTATATTTATCGTAGTTTCTATACAGTTTACCATAGTAAGTTTGTTTCACTCATTGTATTCTAGTTCGAACAGATTCTATCCGCGACCGATTCTATCCGATCGATTCAACACGTTACGATTCTATTATACGATTCCACACGATTCTACTCGATCGATTCTATGCGATTCTATGTGATTCTGTATCAACCATACTATATCTATCGATAGTACATCATCTACAAGGACAATATACCACAATAAACGACAATCTAAATGATCTAAAACTGTGATTTATCAACATTCAAGTGATTCAACGTCTTGATATTGAATTTGATCCTACCAACTAAAACCTACAACATCGATTTCACATTTCGACACCTCATTCCCAACAAGTCGTCGTATCGTGATATCATTGTATTGTACATATTTCACACCTGTATATATCCTGTTATCTGTTTATTAAATTGTTATAACCTTTTTGTCAAAATTCTAATGTCAAGTTCGATTTATTCAACGCACCGCGTCTACCCCCAGTGGATTCATTTGGATTTTGTTCAAACATTAATTTCTATCCGGATGAAGCTACATTTTATACTGACCGTTGTAAGGAACAAAATGAACCAACTTAGAGATGAATTTAGCACAAATGTAAGCAAGGCTGAGTCTGAGTTAACTAAGCTACATGGCAGAGTTGGATTGTTGCTTGAAGAGAAATGCAACCTCGTTAAAAAATTAAAGAGCTAGAAGATCAGAAACTTTAAAGGGCCAAGTTTTATCGTTGCATGACAATTTTGTAAAGCAACACAACAAAATTTTAACCACCAGGGACTCAGCGGGCGGAGATTCCACCGGAGATCAATGTAAAAAATCCAACCAGTCGTGTCACAGTAAGCATTCCTCAAGACTGACATCATGCTCCTGTTACAAATGAAGAGATACCAACTGCAGAGTTACCGCTAATCATCAGAAAGGAAACAGAGAACCCCAGGATAAAAGTCTTATGGCTAATAAAGATAATGAGATACATGACTATGATTTTGTTATGTTGTCCGACTCTAACAGAACTTTTTAAACATAAATAGACTTTGCAACAATAGAAACAGTAAAATGATACCATGTAACACGACAACTAAAGCCATGGAAATTATCGACACCCCCAGATTTAAGGTCAACAAAGGTTTGATTATTAACACAGGTGTTAACACGATGTTGAACATCTTGCGCTGGAAGAAATTATAAACAATCAAAATTTAAATTAGTAGAGAAAGCTATGCCAGCCTTTCTAAATGCAAAAATAATCCTTTCTGATATCACTCCTGGAGATGATAAGTTTGATGACGAAATGCCCAGAATCAATGATGATATTGATAGAGTTATAAAATCATATCGGAATGTTTTTCATGTGTATAATAGCAACCTGCAATATTCAGGTTATTACCATGATGTGAAGCATCTAAGTAGAAAGTACGGAGTTCTAGCCTTAGCAAGAAACATAAAGACAGTTTTGTGAGAAGCATTTAAGAGTCCAGCTAGACCAGAGCATGCAGAAGTGACAAACCACCACCAGTGATAGACACCAGACCAAGACATGATGACAACACAGCCAACACTCCAACTCAACAAGAGAGTGATCAAGCATCATTAACATGGACCCCATACCACCTCAAAATTCCTCTCGAGAAATCAAACTTAATATTGATCATAAAATTGAGTGAGACATGAGCGATAATCAGCGTGATGATACACAGCGATACATGGCGTGTCTGAAACATGACATTTTCAAGCGAGACATTGGGCGAGACATGAGCGATAATGAGCGTGACGATACACGGCATGTCTCAAACGTGAAATTTTCAACCAACTGGTACTGGGCCATACATTTGTCAGGCCATCGTTTTGTCTGGCCTGATTTTGGCTGTCTTATGGCTCCACACTTGGGCCAGCAATTAAGAAATGCAATCACATTTATGCAGACAAGTAAAATAACACATATCAATACACACATACCAAGATATCACTCAATGCTATTAAATCAGGTAAAAAATACAAAGCAAGTTTTTAAAAAATTAGTAAATTAAAAATGATTGACACTAGTTTACACTTCAAACTTTTGGATAAAATGCATTTGTAAAGTTAGCTTTTGTTTAAGTATTTTCATGCATATTTTGTTTTTCCATCAACAGCGATTAAATTACTTTTATATTTCAACTCCACATGATTGAAAGAACACCACGCTATTGCAACGAGCTTTTGCTTACTAAGAGCCTTATCGACTTGTTTTAACTAACAGACATATCGTTATGAAGGCCAGTTCATATTAAAATGTATATATCTACATTGACATTAGGGCCATTTATATGAGCGAAAATAAGCTGCGGCTTTGAGATGGCCGTCGCGAGCGACTTGTGTAAACATTCAATTTGTCTGCAAGCGCCAAAATATTGTTTGCAATGCATGGTTTTGAAAGCGTAATAACTATTATTAAAAATTATGTATTGCGGTATCACACACAAAATCTGCACAGAAAAGATAACCGTTGAGATTAATTACTTACATTTAGAAGAAACTTGAAAACTGTCTGACTCTCCAATGCATCATAGCCTATTGAAGGGAAGATGGCTGTGAAACTCATTAGAATAACAATATAACTCATTATCTATGTTATTCAACATTTATTCATAATCTGGTCCTTCACAGTCATGTGTGTATTGTATTCTTGCCCAACTAACCAATAGCAATGTTTTAGGAAAGTCACCTATCCATGACTTGAACAATAGGGAAACTGGAAATTGCTATTTGTGGATTTGGTAAAAATACAATACACACGTGACGGTGAAACGACCAGATTTATGAATAAACATTGACTAACATAGATGAGTTATATTGTTTTTCTAATGAGTTTCACAGCCATATTCCCTTCGATAGGCTGTGAATGCTTATATTGCCAATGCCTTGAATACTTGAATCTCAAAGTCGCACAGAAACTTTGCGAGGGAGACTATCATTTGACTTTAACTTCGTCTGGCCGAAGAATTACCGAGAATGTAGTGCGATACATAACAATGATCATTGTTGAAAATCTGCAACTTTTCCCTTGTTCAACAGACCATGTATGGTTTGCTGTTTGAAAGCGATGCGTGTGTACAGCAAAATGTTAAAACCAACTCAAATTGCGTGCCTTGTTATCCAAGACACAACAAATTAATTTTTTAACGCAACGCTCTTGTCATGCTCAATTTCTTTCAATTTTTGCCGGATGTGATAATAATCTCACGATTTCATGGCACGCAAGCAAACGAATTTCTGTTGCTTGTCTCGCTCTGCCTCGCTATATTATCGTCCATGTTTCGCTGTAAAAGCAGCGTGACAATTGTCTCGTTTGAGCGAGACAATTTGTCTTGTGATGTCATGCTCATTCAAGCCAAATTTGCAGCCATAAACAGGCAATACAAACGTCTTGTTCGTAAAAGGCAGCGAGACAAAACCAATGTCTGGTTGCATCTCGCTCAATTACTGCTGCTTTAATTGGTTTATGGCCAGAATCTTGCTCAGCCAAGCTGTAAATTTTTATATGGGTAGTTGAATTATGCATTGAAAATAATTTAGTTGCATTGAACGGTAGAACTAAAGGTGACAATTTACTTGTAATACCTATAATGGATCAAGTGTTGAGGATTATGCAATTGTTGCGCAGGAGTTATTTCCACTCATCAACGATTTTTGGCATCGGCAGGACAATACTCACCCACGAAGGTGTAATGAGGCATCATGCCTCCAGGCAGCTGATTAACGCAGAAAGAAACATATTTGGAGACCTTAAGCTACTGTTGGGCTACAGACATGCCGGTTACCACACCGTTATTGGATTGAACATGTCTTGGTGGCGACAGGACCAAGCTGCACCTCTATCTAACCCACCACGACAACCTCCTCCACCACCTGCAGCTACGGACATCAATGTCACCATAATCGACAACCCCGTCGTCAACCGCAACCCACCAGCAGAAAATATGGACAATATGGTGATATTGCTAGCTACGGACAACAGAAGAGATGGAGGCCAGCGGCGAATAAACTCGGGTATGGTGCATGCGGCATTCTCAAGAAGATTCCCGGAAGACAATCACACCAAAGAGCAGTTGAAAAACAGGGTTTATACATTAACAATTTAACAAATTATACATTAATTATGTAAAAGCAAAGTTGTAAAATATAGCACAAAACATTTTTTAAAGTTGTAAATGTTACATAATTCATATTATTAAATTCAAATTTTACCTTCACCTTCACATTTTAAAGCATAAAATGGGGAAAGTATTATTTAAATAAGGCTTTTACTACAATTGAGCATTATTTCACAAGTTCTATTCAAAAATAACAAAAAAACGTAAAAAAAACAACAAAAAATAAAATAAATAAATAAAAAGTAAAAGTCCTAAGTAAAAAAAGTTCAAATCTTGCCTATATAGAAATGATCAGCGTGTTGAGACACATATTTTAAACAGGGTGTGAAAGTTACAATTTTTTCTGAAATTGCAGATCCAGATTCCAGTCTCCAGTCCAAAATTTCATGAGTCCAGGTTTATGAATACGGTCTTTTTTGTCATCTGTCAATCAAGGTACATTCTAACAAATGGACTGTGATTTCTGGATTCCGGACTTGACTATGAATCTGTTTTTTTAAAACGCCGATTTCTCCTAGGAAGCATATTTTGTTAATATTCATTCTATCCGGTCGAAAAGTAGCAATTTTGAGTGGTATTGTTTTAAATGCATATATCTTTCAAACTATACATCGTACGGAAACAGAAATCGCATCGTTCGAAAGAGGATGTCTTCCGCTTTCCAACGATACCAATTTCAATTTCATCCCGAGCTTGGTTAACGATTTACTCGCATAAATTTGCATAAATTATGATATAAAAAATGTTGCAATTATGCATAAATGTATTTACCGGTACAAATTTCAAATATGTCAAACATTTTATGAATGTATCTGAAAGACCCGGTTGTGATCTACATGTACCCGAAGTTTCATGCATGTAGCATAAATGGAAGTATTTTATTGAATTTTTGAATAAACTATGTAATGGAGTAAAATTTACATTTTGTGCTCACATGAAACAAATACCCTTACCAAAGGTCCTTTTTCATTGCTGCAACATATTATCAATACGAATTTCCAACATTTCTTACTCTCCAAGGATAGTATGGCACCAAAATAAGTCTGTGATACCCACAAAAGAACACTCAAATCACTATTTGCAAAATGTCTTTATTTCTACGGTCACTATATACATTCTTAGATAATCAGTACACCATTGACTTAGTTATCAGTAGCATAACCAGCCTGAAAATTTGGTCATGCTATTCAAATTTTAAATAATCATTACTCATTTCTTGAGAAATTGATTGTTTTCACAATCTAGAACATGAAAATATTTGCATATAGCATGACCAAGTGTCGTCGGGCTGGCATCATCATTAGTAGTTATAAAAGAGGCCTCGTGTTAAAACAAGAAAATTGTCCTGGCAAGTAGGGTAAAATTGTCTCATATAAACAAAGACAATTTTATCTCATTTACCAGGCTCTCTCGCTAAGTGGGCCAGCTTGGCTTCCATATCAACAGCCCCTGAATGATAGCACAAACATACCGCTATTATTTTTATTACCACCTGACCTGACTATAATAAAGTAGCACAAATTGGAAATATTATGGGATTTATATTTTAGCCTGCTAATGCTATTACACCACCTGTAAAACGTCACAAACGTGTAGAGGTAGAAAGTTGGAAGCAGAATGTTGTAAAAATTAAGCGACTAAAAGGAGAGGCCTACAAAAAGAAGAATGGTCAGGACAAACAAGAAAGGAAGCTCGGACAACTTTGCACATCAGAATTCTGCCGAAAGTCTTCTCTTCGCAGGTGTGAATTGATTAACGAAGAGCAGAGAAAATCCATCTTTGACAAATTCTGGTCCATGCAATCTTGGACAGAGCGACATTTGTATATTCAAACATTGGTTGTAAAGGTGATTTTCTGAATATTAGTTTGGTTTAAGGCAAAAGAAGAAGTTGGGTGAACTACAGTCTTTTCGACTTTGAACATATACAAACATCAATTCAGGTTTGACTCTACCAATTACTAGTTTGAAATTTAATAAATTTAAAATTTGTTGTTTAGAATGATGTTAAACAAAAGAAGGTAAACCATGGCCATTCAAGTAGGCAGTGTTCCCTTAAATACAGGCTGAAGCTTCCAGATGGATCGGCAATGCCAGTCTGCAAAAAGCTTTTTGCATCCACCTTTGGAGTTCCAGAACGGACAATTGCATCATGGTTGGAAGACTCTATGAATAGTAAGCAGCCAAAACCAAAAAGTCCTTTAAGTGGTAATAAGAAGTTCACTTAATTGGTAGCTTAGTGATAGAGAAGTTTAGATAATCTTGTTCAAGATAAACTAATACTAGTTTGGGTAGGTAGTTTGGTGCTAATTAAGTAACTTCTACAAAATGATTGTTTTTGTTTCAAGGTAAAACTGCTGCCATTGCTGATTCAGATCAAGGCTTTCTAAATCAATGGCTTGCCGGTCTACCAACAGTGCCCTCCCACTACTGTCGAAACACCCCAACCTACCAAAACAAAAAGTTTCTAGAACCAGGTACTACCATAGCCAATCTTCACAGAGAATACAAGGATGCAGCAAATAGCAGTGGACATAGAGCAGTGTGCATAAAACTTTTTTCAGAAGCATTCCATAAGCTGAATTTCTCTGTGTTTGTGCCACGGAAAGATCAGTGTGACCAATGCTTGAGTGCAAAGCATGGGAACATCAACAATGAGACATATTTGGCACATATTCAAGCAAAAAATGAAGCTAGGGCTGAAAAAAGTAAAGACAAAGCCAATGCTAGTCCAAAAAAATCGGTATGGACACTCAACGTCCAAGCAGTCCTTACATGTCCCAAAACGAAGGCTAGTGCCTTGTATTATAAAACGAAGCTACAAGTCCATAATCTAAGTTTCTACAATCTTCATACCCATGACGGTTATTGCTACGTATGGGACGAAACTGAAGGCGATGTTAACAGTGAAATGTTTGCGTATTTACAGTACAAGCATTTCAGTGGAGTTCTTGATTGTCATCCTGAAATTGAGGAGATTATAGTCTGGAGCGATGGATGTGCATACCAAAATCGGAATGTAACTCTTAGCAATAGCTACATTGCTTTAGCTAAGAAGTACGGAGTGAAAATTACCCAGAAATATCTTGTCGTTGGACACACCAGATGGAGGTCGACAGCATGCATGCCGTCATTGAAAAACGAATTGTTGGCAATATCTACACTCCACGTGACTACATTGTCATCATGGAAACTGCTCGTACAAGACCAGCCCCTTATGTTGTGAAACCGGTGTATCATCACAAGGTATTGAAGCTTAATGGCGCTTACGTTAAAAGCATCATACCTGGTAAGAAGGTAGGTGACCGAACAGTATTTCGGCTGAGAGCTCTTGAATATAAACAGAGTGGGAAAGTGAGCTTTAAGTTGAGCTTTTCAGATGAGTTGAGTTGGAAGGTTTTGCCACAAAGAGTGAACAACCCAACAAAACCATTCGAGTGGGTTCGCCATTTTGAATCTCAACTGCCAATCAAGTCGAGAAAGTTCAACGACCTCCAGTCAATGAAACCTGTATTACCACTGTGGGCACATGGATTTTATGACGCGCTTCCTCAAGATAGTGAATAAGCAAAAGAACTCTCGTGCTTCAGAGCATTTAACATTTCATGTTACCTTCATGAAGATACTAAAAACTGCCTATCTCACACTTGTTAAACAATATATCTGCCTATGTCATTTTTGACCTGTTTGTAACAAAATTTAGCACTTGCTAAGTTAGGTGTTTTATTTGTCTTAATTTTGATAAGAGTTGTCCAAAAAATCATTAAAGAATACAGGTTTTAAAGAATTTTATAATTATTTCTTGTGTTTTCTCAAAATAACAAAATGTTGACTTAGGCAATAATGTTAGTAAGGTGTCGATATGCAAAATTTGGTTGTTGGTCATTTTTGGCAAAAATACGGTAAATTTGCAAAGATTCGCCCCTTCTTAAGGTCATATTGGAGGTTAGAATTCAATGCTCAAATCGCAGGAAATGGCATTTCCGGGGTTCTAATTTTGAAGGGGCCCCCAGACCCCCCTAGAAAACCTCACATCTTCACCGAAAAATAGCTACTGCACGCTCAATATCAGTCCGATTTTCATCAAATTTTCACCAAATGTTCTCCAGTGCATGCAAAATATGGTAAAGTTGTAAAATTAACAAACAATAAAATAATGTAAGAATTATTCAGGAAAATCTTAAATCGCGGTAGCGTTACGCTTTTGAGTTGTGCTCCTGCTGGTTTTAAGTTATATTTATGAAATCTCATTTTTATACAGTAAAATAGTTGTTCTAAAAAATTGTGTTTGGAAATTTTTGTTTATTTCGTCATTCCGCTGATATATGGAGATTTCTTTGACGACTGCAATATATTTCTGAATTGTTTGAGTGAATTGCTCTTTATTTTTAAAATATCCAAAATTAAAAAGCCGAACACAATTTTGCAACTGGCGTCTTTAGCTATGTCCTGTGAAAATTTGAGAAAAATTGGTTAAAACCCGCAGGAGCACAACTCGTTTGAAAATCAGTAATTACCGTAAAATTTTCCGGGAGAAAATTTAATTTGAATATTACATTTTCAATGTTTTTCTTATTGCAGTGAAATGTATTTTATTAAATAACTCTGCGAGTTTTCAACATTTTTCGTTCAAACTTGGTCAGATAGTAGAACTAGTCTAATGCTTTCATGGAAACCAATAAAAAATAAAAACATTTTGGGCAAAATTAACACTCAAAGGTGTTCTGTAACCTTAAGATTACAGTCTATATAGATTCCTAAATACTTGAGACTAGTTTCTTGTTTAACTCATTAAGCGGCAATGCGCCCGAATGCGCCCTGAAATTGGCAAGGGGGTAAGCGGCAATGCGCCCGAATGCGCCCTAACATGACTCCTTAACTTGCGGGCATGATATTTGAGCATGTGTTTATCGGGTTGCCTAGCAACAGATACGAAAATAGAACGTGAAATTCGAGCTTTTCAACGGTGTATCATACAAGAAAATCGGCCAAAAACTCGCAAAGTTTTTCAAGTTTAAAACCTTAGTTTTTCAAAAATAATGAACAATGGCGATACTGTTGCAAAGAATGGTTTTACAGCAAGTTTTAAAAGCGAAGAAAGAAGAGGTTTTTTAATCATCTACAACGAAAATTTGGCATGAAAGGGAAGCGAATGTATTGACGTTTTGGGGCCAAGTTCTTCTGTGAACCATGCGCGAGATTTTCAGCCAAAAGGGTGAGGATTTCTCCAAACTTTATTAAAAATAGAAGTCGGAAATCACAAGAAAGATGAACACGGAACTCAAGTGAGCAGATACGATATTTTTAAGGGTATTTTTGAGTAGAAATATGCGATCAAACACTCACAAAATTCGACCGCATTAAAGTTGGTTGAATCTAGTTTAAAGTTATCTTTTTAGACAAACTGTTTATGCAAATTTGGGCACAATTTCGACTGTTTTCGTAACCCCATTGTTAGTC